GTGAATTACACGAAAAACACGTTTTCATTCAGTTTCCCAGCAAACACACTTATTACATTTACGTAGGTAAATATGACATCAAATTAACGGAACATGATTATGTAATAAATTTACGTAAATATTCCATTACATATCTAAAAAACTTTTACCCCATATTTACGTAAATAATTTATGTGAATATGTCGTAGCTAATAGATACGTAAAAACTTACGTCAATATGGTATATTATGTTTCACTTAACTCCTATGTAAAGTTGTTACTTCAATATTACGTTCGCTATGTTTTCATGTTGGTAACATTCAAACACACTTGACTTTTTGACAGATAAGAATCTCTCTGAGTTTTCGAGTTATATGTCGATCTGTGTGAAGTTCTGTGGGAGAGGCTAGAGTTTTTGAGACATTCTTATCACGTGATTCGTTGAGATTTGTGTTTTTGTTGACGAGTATTTTTTACAAAAAGAAAACTGTGGAAGCAGAGATTGGTTAGAAAGTTTTGGTTTTTGAAGGATGCTTTTTCCAGTTAATTATTCCAAGTTTTTCTGCGAGCGAGTGTTATATTCGTTTATATTTACTCACTGAAATTATATAAAATATATGCAAAATAATGACATTAATGTTACGTAAAAATCATGTGGTATTTGTGGCGGACATCTCGCGATAAAAGGGATGTAAGCTTTACATAACATAGTTACATAACACGTATTACGTTTGTTGGGTTGTCCTTTAAACATTTATTGTGGAATTGAAACATATAATATATATTCACAGAAAAACCACATAACGTGATAAATAGAAGAGCATTCATAAACATTTTCATTTACATGGAAGTTTAGCATCCTCAAAGTATACTTTTCGAAGTTTCGGATTCAAAACCCTTGTTTCCAATACCTAATCAGCACTTACTAGATGGACTGAAAAGTTTGTAGGCTAACATACAGATGGCGATACTAGTATTGAATTCATATGATTTTTAGTTGACTCCAACCTTCAAAAGGCTCGTGTATAAATTTCACAACTGTCGGACTTGTTTATATATCAATTTCTATTTTGTCCCCTTCTATTTTGCCTGTGTTTTTTCCAATCCTCGAAACAGTTCTGATATGCACTTTTTGGTGTGTCCTTGAGCTCTCAGCGATTCGGTTTTATCTCTTCGATCGCCGCAAAACACCGTCTTTTCGTGGGTCTCTTCAATCTTGGGAGAAAAAAGTCTCAGGGGGCCAAATCTGGCGAAAACGGTGGCTGAGGCATGATTGCGAGTTTATTTTTGGCCAAAAAAGTATGAACACGCAATGACAAATGAGCAAGTGTATTATCGTGATGTGAAAGCCATGAAATGTATTTTCACGATTCCGGACATTTTTTTCGTATTGCTTCTCCATGTTGACCGTACGAACATGTGGCAAGTACTCCATAAATGAAAGTAAAGTTTGAATTTTGACCTCTTAGTATCTATCTAATAAATTGTATCTGTAAAAGCAAAAACGGTTTGTAATACAGCTGGAAATTTTAAGAAGTGGTATCATTGATAAAACCTTCTCTGAAATGGAACGATTATCCAGATCGTTCGTAGATCCAATGAAAAATGCAACGGGAAACAAACAGTCAAATAAAAAACAAATGGCCCTGTAAACAGTATCACAAATTCAGCAACTACCGACTCAACAACCACTGGTGTGAAAGATCACAACTAGGTACGTTATACATCACATATTACGATGTTAGAACTTCTTAGAGGTACTCACACTCAACCAAAAAGCACCACTCCGTAATGAATGCGAACATGCAAAAATTATTAAAAAAAAAAGTAACGGTGATGGTACCACGACAAGAGAAAAATAATTAAAAATGTTTTTCACAAACTACACCTAACGTTTTGATCTTCACAAACTTTATTTTCAACATGCGTTTCGCTATTACAGTAGCTTTTTTTTAATGAATAACACACCAAAAGTTAATACTTTACTTAATTTTTATATACCCCACGTGATCACCATCAGTGGAAACTATCTAGTCAGGTACTTACTCGATCATAATTACCTAATAAGGTACCTACATCCTCATTTATAGTTACCTATATAGAGTATATTATATGTTCCAAAATACAAATCATGAAATTATAAATCAACAACAAAAATTAATTGGTGTTCCGGGGCGACTTCATTGATTCCAGTGGCGCGTTTGCTTTTTCAGCTGCAGGAAAACCCGGAAAAACCTGCAGCACCACATCATCTGAAGATCTTGATCTGCCAATGTCTTCTCTCTCATAAAACAAAATGTAGGGTGTCTCCAGAGGCTGCAATAAATTCAATACATCGCCAGAACACTTAGTGACACGACTATCGTCAAATTCAAATCAGTCCGTTTCGTCTTTGGCCAAGCCGTAATAATGACCAGATTCAACGCCTGAACCACAGTGAAAATGACTGCATGAAGATTATAAGAGTGGTCTGCTAGATTGAAATGTTCATCAATTTCAAACCTTCGTAAGAACTTGGTGCTTCCGTCAGAGGTTGAGTCATATTTGAAGATCATCAGTGTTATTATTAGATTGACTGGTCTCAGCTATACTTGTTTTCTTATAACACTTACTTAGTTTGGCAATACAGTCGATCATCACCTGTTAAAAGTTCCATTTTCAGATGATTTAACAATAAGCTTTGCACAGACTGTTTATTAGTCATATATGTCTACAAAGACTAGGATAACATCGGTTTCTAAAAAGACAAGTTCAGTATTGGTGATCTATTTAAATCCACAGTTGGTCATTCAATAAAATGTTTATTAATTTCCATTGCTTTCAAATACCAAATCATGTAATTTATACATGACCACTGTGTATTGATATTTACTTGTATTTCGAGACGTTTACCCGAGACTAGTAATAGAGTGTATTAATTATGTACTCATCAATAATTTTGGTGTGCCACAAGAAAGTGTCTTAGGTCCATTATGTATGTACGAGTGTATAATATAAATAGAAAAGGGGTTAAAGGTGTGAATCCCTGAAGAAAATCACTGCGTTGACGGTGAAGGTATAACCGGTGACAGTGACCACTTGTAACAAATAATACCTATTTGAGAAGGTTGGAAAGCCATAAACAAAAACTATGAACAAGTCATAAATTCGCTTGTCTGATAGCTTAGAAATATTATTTGTTACAGCCCGAAACTCCTTGTCAATTATTGCAGTTTGCTTGTTGGAAACTACCGTGGTCATTCAATTTTACCAGCCCACGTGACCTGTTGATGGGTGCCATCATTACATATAAGTACCTATCCAATTATTCCCAAAGTGAATTTAGTTGAAAATTAGTCAAGCACGATAAATTATAAATTGTCATCAACAAATAACTTTAAGAACTATGCAAATATGTATGAAGTGATAAGGAACATAACTTATCTATTGACGTTTTCGTTTCGAAATTGAATTGCCATTATTTTAGGATGGATTACTTGGTCTATTATTGAAAGCACGAGATTACTTCAAGAACGCAACTGGCTCAAACGCTTAACATGAATACGTTCTAAAACTGAAAATATGCCGATTTGTCAATATTTATTCTAGTCGATTTGATAATGAACTGCTAAAAAATAATTTCTGTTTTTATTATCTCTTTACGCCCCATATAGGTAGAGCAACAGTCACTATACGGAGCCTCTGCAATTGTTGAAGGCAATGTCGAAGGCATTATCGAATAATAATTCAACCAAATTATTGTTACCTCAAATGAAAATGAATAAATAAATAGATTACCCATAAGTGAAATATCAAATACATACAAACAACAAAAATAAAACAATGAAGATTATTAATGAAACAAACATAAATAAATAAAAACAAGAAAAAATAAGAAGAGATTTCAAACCTAGTTTACTTCACGACGTTTCGATTCTTAGTATCTACAATCCTCTTTAGGTGATATCTCATATGTTCCTGGTATTCAAAATATATTTAAATTTCTATATTTCCATCTAAGCTACTACTGACATTATCGACATTTTCTGATGAAGGAACGTGTAGAAAATATTCCTGCACATTTGCCAGTCCTCCATAAAATTAAATTTCGAGTATTTGGTCAAAGTTGTGCCATCTCTGGTCATCGAATGTAAACTTATTCTGGATTAGGGGCATCGTTTATAACAACAAAAGGGTAAGTGACATTTAGACGTTATAATTCAAACGTCAAACTTGAAGAAAACAATGGAACGTTCACCGTCCAGATATAATGTTTATCGGAAATATTAGAACGAAATCAGATGGTACAACAAGATCAAAGACTTGTTTTTACAAATCGTTGTAGTGTCTTGTGCTTCCTGTTAATGAAAGAGAAACTGATGAGTTTACCTACTCATCTACTTTCAACACTATTAAAACCATTCGACACTGATGTCGTAGTTCAATCATGATGTTTACTCTTATGGTACTGCTATTAAAAATGAACATTAAAACCTGGAAATTTATCGATACAATTTTGAGGTCTTGAGGTATTATTTTCGACAAACGTAATATTTCAAGTCATCCATAAAAACATCTTAATAGACATCCACTTAGGGCTGGCAAGTTTATTTACAATATGTCACCACAGTATTTCGTATATACTCTGTGGTGCTAGTAGCTACTGAGGTGCTAGTAGCTCTGTCTTACTTCTTGCCATTCCTTGATTTCTTGTAAAAAAGCATTTCGCGAGAACGCAACAAGACCTCAACATAGAAGGACAAAAAAATATCAGACGTCTGATATTGAATTTTCTACTGTTCTGTGCTTCAGACAGCACCTCATCTGTAACACAGAACAGTAAATTGTCCTTATCTGTTCTGTGGTCAAATTTTTCAAAACAATACGGTTTTTTTTGTCTGATTAAGATGCTATTGATGTTCCATCTGGTTTGTTTTCGGTTTTTAAACTATTTTATTATGTAAAATAATGGATACTTCACTGAGGGCCAACTAAAATCCTAGTTTGTTAGTTTAGTTCCTTGAAGTATTGAAAAAATTCCCTTTCAAATTAATAACAATTTATTAGGCACCTTATTACATTTGAATGTGAGTGTAATAAACAAAAATATCCCACTTTTATTTTTTATTATCATTGATATTTTCATCTGAACTCTCATCACTACTATCTTCTTCATCTTCATCATCATCTTCATCATAATCTTCATCCTCTTCATCATAATCACCACCACCATAACTGTATCCACTGTCTCCATAACTGTATCCACCTGCCGCCTCATTCCCATCATCATCCTCATCTTCATAATTCAATCCTTGTCTTCCAAACTTGTGACTACGAGCTGAAAATAATAATAAAGAAAATTATGTTTTTTTTCAATAAGTGAATTTCCCTCAATGCATAAAAATTAAAGATTTGAAGGATAGGCAGTATTTTTAGAGTTTGACAGTGATTAAAAATGCACTAGAACATAATTAACCCATGACAGGAACTGCCAACATAATTATTTTTGACAGAAATTTTAATCATAAAGTTGGAATTTTAAAAAACAGTTTTTTGAGTTTCCTTTTCTGGAAATAATCTCAACCTATATACCACATAATTTTCAAAATTTTTCTCTCAGGCAAATGCCTTTGTGTATAGCAATTCAAGATGAAATCTCTAGACCTATCATCTTGGGATTTTATCAAATTGACTAGAATCATTTGTCTAGCAAAATTACAAAGATTATGGATTTGCACACATTTAAACTGATAGTGCATTTGAGTTTTAAGTCTTCATAAAATCTGTAATATGTTGACTTCGACATTGAAATTTCCTACCAACTGATCCATCTATATTTTACTGTACTCACTTGACATGCTAAGATCCTTCGTTTGTGATGTTTCAAAGCTACATTTAGGACATGGAATAGGTTTATTTTTCTCATACTTGAACCCTTTCCTGCGAACGTGATCCTCACAGTAGCAAGTTTTGCATCTCAAGCATGAATATTGTCCTAGTTTATTACACGACTGACCTAAAAGTGTGAGAAAATATTTGAAATCGATGTAATTTTCAGATAAAGCATTTAGTTTCATCATAAACATACATTTGTAACTCTCAGCCTCCAGTACTTGACAAGATGCTTGATGTTCAAACTGATCGTCTTCGCACAGAAAATTTGTGCAAAACGAACACTTGAAAAGCCTTCCACCGTGATCCCATACTCCTCGTTCACATTCTATGCAAACTGCATCTTGTAAAGGACAAGTGCAAGCGTGAGACTGGAGGCATTTTCTTCCATGGCATACCCAAGCCTCGCAGAAATCGCAAATGGCACCCTGAAATTACATTTTCTTCCCAGGTGATTTTCAACAATATAATAATTTACTTAAGCAGTGTAGTACAATATGTACATATAGTATGTCAACTAAATCGCATTACCTATGCTTAGTACTACTGTAATATATACTGAATAAACTTCAAGAAAAATAATAAAGCTATAAAAACAAAAGGAATGAAGAAATATCGTTTAAAAACCTCTATGAGAGGTTGTTAATCCGTAAAAAAAAAATTGAAATCAATCAAAAGTGTCACCTCTCCTCTACACTATAAAAACATTTTTCAATAAAAATTACTTAGTTTTTCTGTGAAATATAAAGTCCAATTTAGAGTTACTCAATAAATTACATATGGTTATTATGGCAAACGGCTATTTCACCTAAATTTGTTGTGCCTGAGGAAGTTATTGTATAATGAAACACGTGTTGTACTGTGCGTTTGTTGTAAAGTGTTACTTGAATTTACTATCATGGGTTTTAATCAAGTATCAGCCAATTACATAATATACTGATAAATGAAATTGTTAATATCAAATAATTCATAAACAGTATTAGGAAACAGTAGCTAGCTGTTTTGATAGAATGATTTTTTCTAAAGCCATTATGGCTGGTTAATGTCAAAAAGTTATACTCGAAATAGTTAATTATCTTTTTATCAGAGGAACCAGCCAGTTTTTTTTTTTGAATTCTTCAGGAAAATATTGTTGGATCAATAGATGAGTAAGTGGGTCGATTATAGTATCTATTATATTCTTGATAGTATTTAGATAGTCCATCAAACCTTTGGTAGTTTCAATTTTTCATTAACCTATTAATGCCCGATGGGACCAAATAGACTGAGAAATAGGGGTGTTTTCAAGTGGAAGGAGTGAGGAAATGTTATTATTTTGCAGAGTGCTGTATTATGTCTTAGAACGGTTCAAGATGTCCTGACCAAAATGATTATTTTTTAAAAAATTAGTAGTTTTTGAAAAATGTTCCAAAATAATTCAGCTACCTCCATGAGATTCCCAGTAGAGATTCATGCCTCGGAGTGATACTACTGTCAGCACAATAATTTTCGAATCATTTAGGAAGCTTGGTGGATACTTACGACCATGCCCATTCCAGTTGTATAAACTCCGGCGTGTCTTATCACGCAATCTCCCGTTTTCAACATACACTTCATCTTTCCACACTGAGCACAAACTGGCAGTCTTTGTATACTTTGACAGAAATAACAAAAAGCCCTACTCCTCTGTTTACTACAAATAAAATATTGGTTATCATATAGGAATCAGTGTGTCGAGAAAGAATTAAACCAACCGATGGCATTTTTCACATTCCATTGAAATATTGCAGGGATGTTCAGCTAAATCAATATTTTCTTTAGCTGCCCTTATTTCTTTTTGACGTAGTTTCTGCTTCTCCGCCTTCTTCCTTTGACCAGTTTTTTTCTTAGGCATTATTAATTTTTCCTAAACGACCAAAAATATGTCAAATGCTGATGAAAATCTACAAACTATAAACCTATCACATGCGGGTTATGTTAAGATATGCAAAAGAAACGTGACGGAGGACGCGGAAACGAGTTGGGTGTTGCTTTTGGGTAGATGGTAATCAAAGCAACGTTGGCAGGTCAAATTTTATTTCTTCAATACATTTACTTGAAAAAATTTAATTTATACGATGTCAATTACAGCTCAATATTTTAAATATCTTTGTGCTGAGAAGTACGGGAAATTGGGTTTGATCAAAATTTAAATACACGTTAAATAATATATGAAATTAAAGTAAATATACTCAAAATCTAATATAGCAGTGAGCTACTGAAAAAACACTACATATAACAACGCTGTTGATAGTGATGACGTTTAACATGACGAGTGACACATCACGGTCAGTGTTGCCAACAATTTTCTCATATCCTATAATTTCAAAAAAAAAGGAAAATATATACGTTAAATGGTAGACCTCGTTAATCCTTAGATCTCACAAGTTACAACTTCTGAAGGTTGTTGTTTATAGAGGAGCGACAGCTGGTTATCAGAAAAAGAGATTTTAACAGAAACAGAAATGATCAATGCCTTCTTTTGGACACTTTCTTTATATATTTTACATTGTACTTATTCGGAAAATGACTATAATTCATGAACAAAATGTTATGTTCACGTATCCAGCGTGGAAAAAACGTTATATTTCAACGAATTGTATGCACTTACCATAGGTTGCCGTTTGTATCGCAACTGATACTCTCAACTGAATAGCTTATTAAATCGAAACATTCAAAATACTAATCTGTAATATAGAGTGTGACACACTTAAGATGAAGACACCCCTGTATTTTAGTCATTTTTTGAAGCAGAGATTAGATTTTTGGTACAAGATAGAGCTTCATGGGCTACACTTTTCGCAATACTTAGCCCGAGTGACAAACTTCGATATTTTGCTTCACGTTGGGGATACCGAAATAAGATATTTCAGAAAGTTGCTTAGAAAGAAATCGCTTCTGACCCTACATACCAAATTTCAACGCAAAATTTGAATTCCATGTTCAAGTCCGATTTTTAGTTGATGGTTCTAAATGCTACGAAAATAATGAATTCGTTGTAACGTAGGAATGAGAATGAAAACCTGATCTTCATCATGAATACATTCATTTCATTGTTTTCGGCTATTTTATCATTTCCGATTGAAAATCAGAGTTGAATATAAAAATTACAAAAAAAATCAAATTCGAAATGTAGGGTTGAAATCGATTTCTAAGCAACCTTTTCAAATAACATATTTCGGTATCTACAACGCGAAGCCAAATATCGAGAATTTGCCCTTTTCGCGGAATCGCAAAAATCAAATATCTGCTTTCAAAAATATTTAAAATATAGGGGTGTCTTCATCCTAAGTGTGTCACAACACTTCTCTTTTCTAGAAAATTTTAGAACATCCTATAGAATCGTTGGAAAAACTTCAAATGAAATGAGTGGTCATGATAAAGCAATTTATAATGAAATCAATGTTGATTTCGAAAAAAAATCACTTTTTCCTAATAAATAATTAATAAGTCACTAACATTCGTGAAAGTTTTTCAACATTTAGAAATGTTCTTAAAATCCACAAGTTAGGTACAAAGCAAAAAAAATCATACATGAAATCGCTGAAATAATTAAAAAAGTGATCACTAATTGATGACAATTCTAGGTACTGATATACTAACCTAAACTGCAAACCAAAACAAACCAAATGGATCCTCTCTCCTGCGTCATGTCTCATGACATATCTAGTTATTTGGCATCACTGTAGCAGCCACGTAAGATTGACAATGACGTTTGGGAAAATAATTTTTTCTCATTTAAGATAATTTTCTGAGAAAATGTGTGAGGAATCTATAATAAATTGATTTTGGTGCAAGGAAAATTGAAAACTCAAGTAAGTAATTCAACTATCTATTCTCTTGAAAAATATTCTTAGGAAAAATATACCTCAGAAAAAATAGGACACTTATCCTTCAATTAAAAAAGCAAATCATCAGGTTCAAAGTCAAGTAGCACATTAATTGTGTCTACATCGTCTGTTAAGAATTGTAACAATAAAAAATGTATTTTTGGAGTAAGTTTATTTTCCTAGAATTGATATTTCAGTATGTTCAATGCCAAATCTTTTTGATACTGGTTACTGCTGAGAAGTAAAATCCTGCACAAATTTTGAAAGTTTTACATATTCGAATAGACCAAAAATATCCCAATCAGCGCTGAAAAATCAAAATTTGCACACTTATAGTCTCATTTGTTGGAGCTATTGAGGTCAACTTTTTTATGCTTAGTCGCGTTCCTTCTCAAGATCAGATTAAAAGGGACAGTTATAAGATATTCAGAAAGATTTCATGTTTTTTGTGTTGCTTTTGAATACTGATTGCAAAAATTTAAATACTAAATATGTGTAATCATTCTTTAGACTGCTGAAATCATAATATTTCAAATATTATTTCTTCTGTGAAAATTATCATAATCAGTTTTTCCAATACATTAGAAACCTTTTACCAATTATTCAACAAAGATTTTGAAAATTAAAAATGAAATGTCTAATTTACATTGCAGCACCAAATTGAGTATATTTTAATTTTTTATTATAATTTGGATACTTTTTTAAAAATAGGTATTTATTTACTTTGCTATTCATGTATATTTTCTATATTATTTTTTATGAATTCATTTACAATGTATTCAGTACATCATATAAATTTATCAAACGATATAGAATGGGTTGTTGATGATTGAAATAAGACTTGACAACCGTAATATATATCTCTGCTACGCAGATAATATAGGCAAGGTTAATAAAGGTTTTAGTAACATGTGCATTGTGCATAAAAAAAAACGGGAATATTCATACACTATACAACTTTCACCACACTATACATGATTAAAAATAAGATGAATTTCGTAAGTCAACCTTACATACATTCAAAAGTAAATAAAAGATGTAAACAATTCTAAACATAAACAGGAAGAAGATAAGAATAGAACCAATCTGATGTCGAAAACAGTAAGATGATTGAGTTTGAAAAGTACTGGCAAAATGTTTATTGTTATACAGTTGTAAATGTTTTTGTACAAACAACTTGCTGATATTTTGGCTACATGAAAAAGGTTAAAAAGGCATCTTTCATTTTTTTTCTCATAGATTTTGACTGAACTGTCTGTTGAAAATATATTTAATTTTTTTTAACATTTAAGAATTTTCTGTCATTTGTGCCTGATTCGCTATAAAATAGCTTTATCAAACTGCTGATCAAAAAGTTTTGAAAGATTAACTGAATTAGGCCATTATATAACAGTTTCAGTGCAGGAAAGGACACTATTACTTATATGTCAAATATTCAGCTGAACTTTTTATTTTTTTCTTTTATACTTGTTAGTTTTGGATCTGATATATTTTTCCTACTGATATGTAAATAAGGATCACAAATTGGCATCACATTTTTTGGTGAGAGTTGTATAAAATATTCTTGTTGAAACAGTAGTTCACAAATTCATATGATATTTTCTTTCTTATTTCAACAAATTTAAATTGATGATAACTCGAATTTGTATCATCCACTCACTCTATGATTCAATTCGGCATAGTACATGTTCTGTTAATATCTCCGTTAATATCAATGAGAGCATTTAAAAAAATAGAGAGCAAATACCGAACTTTGGGTTCTTCTTCTGAATAAACATCAGAGGAGTAGATTTGTTTTTCTCAAATTTATTTCAGGTTTCTAATAGTAAATGAAGATGTATATAATAACTGTTTAGTTAAAATATATCATGTAATGTATCACTTATTTGTAAAGGCTGGACATGCTTTTAAAATTGAATCAACACACTGTTAGGTAACAATAGGCCTTCATTAGAATTTAGCCAATAATGTTTTGAAATATAATAAAAATTTTGTAAACAATTGTTTTCAATATATATTATGAAATAACCGACCGATACTTTTCAGCTCAACATCAATGTTATGATGGCTGAACAAAACTTGAACGGAGTTTCCCTCAGCCTAGAAAATCTGAAACAGAATGTACCAGTTGATGGAAAGATGTACCAACAGTTCAACGGAGTACACTCTTCCCAGTCATCAAGAAGTTCAACTCCACCTGTTCGACTTGGGCAAATTCCTCCAACTCAGCTTCCTCCCAACAGGCCAGTTCCTCAGTCCCAACTGCCGCCTTCTAGATCCCCACTCACCAATGTCACCCAACAAGTTGGTGCACTCAGCATACAGCAGATGCCGCCTAGTGTCAGTACGAAGTTTGAAACCATCAGTCTGGAAAACAAGCCCGTTTTTTCGTCAGCTTCTCCGGTACCAAAAACGCAAGTAACTCAGGCCGAACCGTTCAGAAGTTTTTATGATAAAGATGATGTGAAAAATGTAGTGCCTAATGTACCAGGTGTGCAGAAGACTCCTCATAATTTCTCTCCAATGTCTCAGACTAGTTTAAACCAAAATAGTAGTCAATACCCATATGGACAAATGCAAAATCAGCAATCAAATGTGGGTCCTTCAGTTAGTACCACCCAGGGAAATGCCCAAGCTGGGTTAAATAGGACTAATTTTATACAAACGCCTGTGTTATCGTCTCAGAATTTTGTGAATAAACCAACTGTTCCACTAGAGTCCAGTAGATTGAACCAGTATTCAACTGTGCAAAGTCAAAGCAATCCAATTCAAACTGGTTTGAACCAGGGTCAGTACCTGCAGCATCCTGCAAGTAGTTCAAGTACTCAGTATAGCTCAAATAATACAAGCGGCAGTCACTTACCCAATTTGAGTCAAGTCAACAGGAATATAGCAAATCAAATTCCGGGGTCAACAGTTCCTCCTTTGGTAAATCCAGCACATCAATTCTCGAACCCTCAGAAATTCTCCCAAATGTCACAGATCCATCCTAGTACAAACCAAAGATATGTAAACCCGAATCATGCACCTAGGCCAATGCTGAACATGAATAACTTACAGAACTTTTCTGCGAATGCAACCCAGCCGAAGATGCCACCAAGCAGTGTTTTTCCTCCTCCTGTATCAAATTTTCAACCCACCACTGTTCCCCAAACGAACTACTTAACTGGACCTCCACTTCAAAACCTGGCTGGTCAAAAACCTGTTATGCACAATAACCGATATCCGACGTCTTCAAATACAAGTTATCAGCAACCACCTGCTAGTCAGTATAACGCTCCTCCTTCACAGACGATTCAGAAGCCAACAGGTTATCAGCAACCGATGCAGCAGCAAAACTCCTACCAAGCTCAGAATCAGTACAGGAGTGTCCTAGACACTGGTTTCAACAATGCCTGGGGGACACAGAGCTATGACCTTTTGCAACTCCCAAACATACTGCCCCCTTCGAAAATAGACCCTCCAAGGGTTTGCTTGGGGCAAGAACTGCTAGACCAAGCCAACTGCAACCCGGACGTGTTTCGATGCACCATGACGAAGATACCTGAAAACAACTCGCTGTTGCAAAAGTCTCGTTTGCCGTTGGGCATCCTGATCCATCCCTTCAGGGACCTCAGCCACCTCCCTGTCATCCAGTGCAACGTGATCGTTAGGTGCAGGGCTTGTCGCACCTACATAAACCCATTCGTTACTTTTGTGGATAACAAAAGGTGGAAATGCAATCTTTGCTATCGAGTAAATGAGCTGCCAGAGGAGTTCCAGTATGACCCTGTTAGTAAGACCTACGGTGATCCTAGCAGAAGGCCGGAGATCAGAACGAGCACTTTAGAGTACATTGCCCCAGCTGAGTATATGCTGCGCCCCCCTCAACCGGCAGTATATCTCTTCTTACTGGATGTGTCTCGTCTGGCTGTTGAAAGCGGCTACTTAGAGCTGATGTCCGGTATTTTGTTGCAAGAGCTGAAGAACTTACCTGGGGATGCAAGAACTCACCTGGGATTTATTGCTTATGATTCCGCCCTACATTTCTACTCCCTGCCAGAAGGGATAACTCAACCACAAGAAATGACTGTTCTAGATATCGAAGATGCCTTCATTCCCACTCCAGACAACTTGTTGATCAACCTGAAAGACAGAATGGATTTGATAGCAGACCTTTTGAGGCTACTACCTTCTCGATTTTCTAATACTTACGACACTAACTCTGCTTTAGGTGCAGCCTTGCAAGTGGCCTTCAAGTTGATGAGCTCTACTGGGGGTCGTGTCACCGTTTTTCAAGCATCGCTTCCCAATGTGGGTCCGGGAGCGCTAACTGCTAGGGAAGATCCTTCGCAGAGAGCTACTACGGAAGTTGTACACCTCAATCCGGTGAACGATTTCTATAAACGCATAGCCTTAGAATGCAGCGGGCAGCAAATAGCTGTCGACTTGTTTGTTGTCAACTCTCAGTATGTGGATGTTGCAACTATTTCGGGGATCAGCAGGTTCAGCGGTGGGTGCATGCATCATTTTCCACTGCTCAAACCAACGAAGACCATACTCTGCGAGAGCTTCGCCAGATGTTTTAGGAGGTATTTGACTAGGAAGATTGGTTTCGAGGCTGTTATGAGGATTAGGTATGTACAGAATTTGTTTTTTCTTTATAGAAAGATATGCGCTTGAGTAATAATCTCATTGTCAAAGCATGTAGTAGATATATGAGCCCGCTTTTGTTCGTTATTTACATCAATGATTTTTACAACTATATGAAGCCATGTCACAGTATACTATTTGCTGAAGATACATCCTTGATATACTCTTCTATGAATTATTCAGCTCTTGTTGATAAGTCTATGGAAATACAAGAAAAAGCGGAGCACTGGTTCAGTGTCAACAAACTCATGATGAATAAGGAAAAATCACAAAACATGATTGTTTCTATGGCTCTGCCATTACCTGAATTCCAGTGTCTCGAATTGTTGGCTTTTACTCTGGACAATAGGCTAAATTGGTCAAGCCACATTCAAGTTCGAAAAATAAGCTATCGAGTGCCTTATTTTTACTTAGACAGCTGAAACCAATAACAAATTTCACTACGCTGAAAATAGTATTTTGTTCGCTCATACAATCTCACATTTTTCACGGTATTCTACTTTGAGGAAATTCTAGTGATGCCCATTGCATTTTTATATAACAAAAAAAAGCTCTGAGAATTCTTGCTGGAATCGGTTTTAGGGATTCTTGCCGTGAATCATTCATCACTAATGAAATTATGTCGGTGCCTTCTTTGTATGTTTACTCAAGCCTATTAAATATTCACAAAAGAGCCCCCTTGTTTCCCAAGCAATCCAGTTTACATGATCATGATACACGTAACAGCAATTTTATTAGACCTCAACGTTTCAGGCTGATGAAATCACAAAAAAATTCATATGATTTTAAATTGTATAATGCACTTCCTGCAAATATTAAATATATGAATATGTTTTGCTTCAAAAAAGTTATAAAAAAATATTTAAAAAAAAACAATGTTTTTATTCAGAATATTTAGAACATGTGCGTAGACACACTTTTGACGCAAGGAAGATGCTCGCCGAACCTCCACACTTAATTTGAATATATTAATATACCCTGTAAATTTGTTACAAATTTTACTGTTTACTTTTATTTTATAGACTTGTCATAAATGTATTTTGTACATAACATGATCAAATAGGTATACCTATCTATCTATCTATTGCCATCAGCATAACAGAAGGGGAGCAAATAATATTAAAATAAACATATATAGACTAATCAAATTTTTGAATAATTCGCTGAACTATAAATTGTATAATATTCTTCACAATGTTCTGTTTATAACAAAATCATAACATCATTTTTAGTTGAAAATTTCTTTTATTTGCTTGAAGAGTATGAGAATTGTATGAAACAATGGGTAATTACTATGGTAATTACTGACTGAATTCGTAATGATTATATTATTGTTCTGTTTTTCTTTCAAAATGTGAACTTCTATATGTGTTTCTTGTACAGGGTGATTCAAAAGTACTTTGACAAACTTCAGGAGGTGATTCCTCACAATATTTTAATATGAATTGTTCAAATAAATAAATGTCTGGAAATGCTTCGTTTCCAAGATACAGGATGTTGAAGTTTTATTTTTATTTTCGTTTTTTTCAAATAGCTTTTGAAATACTGAACCTTAATTAAACGAAACTTGGTAATAGGAGGTTTTTGAGGTATCGAATTCAAACCTGATGTTCTTATTGCTCTCACTCGTAGGGGGCGCCACCTACACGTCTTTTTCTTTTTTGAAGATTCATAACTTTTTTGGGCGTACTTCTAGCACATTTTTCAGTAAAAAATCGATTCCTCTATCATATCTACGTAAATAAGCTACCCTTGTTACTAGTCGCTGTAAGCAACCGTTTTCTAAATATTTGGACTTGAAAACTTCAAGTCGATTATTTGATAATCGAAACATGTTGAAGTTATTACGAATATTTTGCATTTTTTACAAGAATGCTTTGGAAATAAATTTGACGTTTGTGAGTAGATTTGGTGATTACATATTTTGTGACAGTTAGACGTTTTGTTGAAGTTTCCGTAAGTAGAAATAGAAAACAATAATGCTCATTTGGCCGATATGCATTTCGTTTATAGCCTTGTGGATGACAATGCGCGCGAAGCCAGACGTATTTACCAGGAGCAGAAACAGGTAGTTTTAAGAGGGCAGCTGATATTATTGGAAGACCACGAGCAGTCCGAACCCCAGAATTGGAAGAAGCTATTTTGAACGCTCTTGAGAAGAATCCAGAAACAAGCACAAGAGTAATTGCTGAAGCTGTGAATTCTACTCAGTCCACAGTTTGGAGAATTATCCACGATCAACAGTTTTATCCATACCATATTCAAAGGGTACAAGCTCTTTTGCCACGAGACTTTCCCCAAAGCATTACTATGTGTCAATGGTTTTTGAGAAAATTGGCTGGAAATCCTCAATATTTAAGATATGTACTCTTCACAGACGAGGCAAACTTCTCCCGAAATGCTATTACAAACTTTCATAACAACCATGTTTGGGCTCTCGAAAATCCGCACGCAGTTAGTGAAAGGCATTATCAATATCAATTTTCTGAAAATGTATGGGCAGCAATAATTGATAATTACTTGATAGGTCCTTTCTTTCTTCTGCTACGACTGAATGGCGCAACTTACAGACACTTTTTAGAAAATGAATTGCTGGGACTACTTCAGAATGTACCATTAGAAATTCGTATCCGCATGTGGTTTATGCATGATGGGGCTCCGGCCCATTTTAGCGTTGTAGCCAGGGAATTTCTTAACACAGTCTATACTGAAAAATGTGCTAGAAGTACGCCCAAAAAAGTTATGAATCTTTAAAAAAGAAAAAGACGTGTATGTGGCGCCCCCTACGAGTAAGAGCAATAAAAACATCAGGTTCGAATTCGACACCTCAAAAACCTCTTATTACCAAGTTACGTTTAATTATATTCAGTATTTCAAAAGTTATTTGAAAAAAACGAAAATAAAAATAAAACTTCAACATCCTGTATCTTGGAAACGAAGCATTTCCGGACATTTATTTATTTGGACAATTCATATTAGAATATTGTGAGGAATCACCTCCTGAAGTTTGTCAAAGTACTTTTGAATCACCCTGTATATTCACCCATAGTGCTGGGAAAGAAAAAGTGTTCCAATTTTGATATGTGAGAAATGTGTTTTCACTAGATTCAAAAGGACATAATAATTTGTTATTTGAAAAAATACTATACTTTCAGAAAAAATTTTGAAAGCACAACTGTAAGATCAGAATAATAATGAGGTCATCAAGGGGGTTGACTGGATAATACATTTTCATGTAGATTTTCAAAATGTATAAATGGGATGCACATATTTAATTAAATCCCTACAAATAGTTTTGTAGATATTTCATGTATTGATTAATGTACAATAAAGAGCTCTAACTTGGTTGAAGCTTGGAGTAGATTATTTTGTTGGATTATATTATGTTTGTAATAAAAAATATTTTTTCCCAAGGTGCACCAGGGGACTCTCCATTCATACCTTCCATGGAAACTTCTTTGTAAGGTCCACGGATTTGCTGTCCCTCCCAAACATCAATCCAGATGCTGGTTTCGGCATGCAACTCTCAATCGACGAGAGCTTATCCGATGTCCAGTCGGTCTGTTTCCAGGCAGCTCTGCTGTACACCTCTAGCAAAGGTGAACGTAGGATAAGGGTGCATACGATGTGTCTACCTGTCGCTTCAGTGTTGAACGACATCATACACTCAGCTGATCAAGAGTGCATCGTCGGGTTGCTCTCCAAAATGGCCGTGGATAGGTCGATGCAGTCTAGTCTCTCGGATGCTCGGGAAGCTTTCATAAACGTAGCAATAGATATATTAACGAGTTACAAAATATCCCTCAACATGGCGAGCTCTGTATCAGGTCTTTTGGCGCCAAACTGTTTGAAGTTGCTGCCCTTGTACATATCGGCACTCCTGAAGCATCCCGCCTTCAGGATGGGAGGTGCCACTAGGGTAGATGATAGGGTCATGTCCATGATTAACATGAAGACGAAACCTCTGTACTTGTTGATTCAGAATATATACCCGGACTTGTACCCGATACACGATTTGGAGAATCAGGAAGTGATTTTGAACTCAGAAGAGGAACCCGTTTCGATGCCGCCCAGACTGCAACTGACTGCTAGGTGTCTTGAGAACAAGGGGGCCTTCCTCATGGACACAGGCGAGCATATGGTGATTTTAGTGTGTCCGAACGTTTCGCAGGAGTTTTTATCGGAAGCGCTAGGAGTCAGTAATTATAACAGTATCCCTGACGACATGTACGAATTGCCCATTTTAGATAACCTTCGGAATCAAAGACTGCACCAATTTGTTAATTATCTGAATGACGATAAGCCTTACTCAGCTACGTTGCAAGTGATTAGGGACAATAATAGTTGTAGAGTTGTGTTTTTCGAACGGTTGATAGAAGATCGTGTTGAAAACGCTTTGTCTTATCATGAGTTTTTGCAACATTTGAAGACCCAAGTGAAATAGATTTAAGTGTACCCTGGTTTTCTGAATATTATTCAACAATGCAAAAGTATTGCTAGGAAATTTTTTATGTAATAAAATGAATGGAATTATGTTTGGAACTGATATGATTTCAAGGTCAACCCAATTACACAGATAGTATTCAATGAAAATAATCTCATTGTAATGGGAGATAAGATATATGGAAGATTCTGGTTCAAAAGGAAACCTCAATAATAGTAGATAAGACTGAACCTTCACGTGAATGAATTTCAAGGTTGGAATGATTCAGCAGAATTATTTGAAAATGCGGTTTTAATGCTAATTTATAAGAAATGGCTGTAATTCAAATATTGGATGAAATAAAGGCATATTTAGTCAAAATGGAAGTAATGCAAATATTGTTTAGTTTAGAAAATATTTTTGTTGAATTATATAAATTACTTTGCTATAGAAAGTGAAACTTAAAGGTTGAACATTATTATTTAGGAACTAATTTGGAATTGGATCAGTAAAAATTGTTAGATATTTTTTTATTGAATAAATTTGGATTTGAATAAATACATCCTCAGGGCTGTAAAATGAGAAAAAAGTTCTTGAAAGTAGGTTTTACCTACAACTCTATATTGCATAACTTTATTATGATATGAAAAGTATTTTTGATCAATGAGATGTCAAAAACTTACCGAAACATGTTATTTACTGTGTTGAAAAAGATTAATAAGTATTTGCCGTAGACAGACATTTAGTAGGACAACAATCGAAAATATATTAAATGAAAAAACAGTAGTCAAAACCAAAACTGGTGTAAAATGAAGCATTTCAACTGAAAAGTTTAACAAAATGTTGAAGCAAATAACAAAATACTGAAAATTGTTATAAAATACGCTGGCACTGAATTTTGTCATTTTGTTATTGACATTTTAATTTATTTATATTTATGATTTCATTTGGCTGTAGTTGTAGCTTTCATTAACTTTCGTTTTTTTTTACTACATTTTTGTTTATATGAAGATCTGCTTGCAGAAAGTTCTTTTCAATATGGAAAATCAGATGTTTTGAGCGATTGTCGTTGTATGTCAAAGTCATGCGATATAGAATTTCAGGTGTAAAATATATTCAGGAATTTTTTTCCTCATTGTAATACCCTGAGGATAAAAATATTTAAGTCCAAAAGGTCTGTGACAAACGAGGTAATTTCTCTACGAATTTTTACAAATCCTATCCCAAACTGGTTCCTAATGTCAATCTTTGAATCACTGAACCAAATCAGAGAATCAATTACAGAAAAAAAATAGCCAAATTCTGGAGAAAAAAAATATGAAAGACCTCTAGGTTTTTTTCAGGAGAGGGAAGATTTGAAAATTTTTGGGCATTCTTTGCATATATTCAGGGTGTTTCCTAGGAACCTCTAAATATTTCAGAAATTGATCTAACCTTCCAAATTGAAAAGTTCATCAGTCACTTTATCAAATCAGGCCTCCTTTATGGTACAAATTTGAATTAAAATATGTTGAACTAGTCCTAATTTTTTTTTAATTATTGTTTACCCCTCGTATATTTAAAATATTGAAATACAGAATTAATGATCCTCAAATTTATCGAAAAAAATACTCTTAGTTGAATTTATGGGGTGGTTATTATTATTTAAATGAACATTATACTACCGTATACAAAAGTTGGACAGTCGTATACAAAATGCCAATGAAATATCTTCGAAGTTTCTGAAATGTTATAAATGCTCATTTGAATTTTGGAATTCAGAATTTATAGAATCAGCTTCTGGGAAATTTTACTGCTTTGGAAAAATTCGGAACACCTACTTAACATATTGTTATCTCAGACATGAATTTTACTTCTATAGTTTTCAATAAATACCAATATCACATCTTTTTTATAACACTGAGCTGATATAGTATTATACACTTGTTTTTCAGATCATTTTATTACATTATTCGAAAATTCTAATTTGTCCCTTTGATACTGAAATGTGATATCTAATTTGGCAATATTTTTGCATTACCTTGCTTTTATTACGCCATCATTGATTATCTATTGTTTTTTATTGTTATCCTATAGACATATATGTTATTGTAAAATAGATATTTTAATTATAATGGTCAAAGCTGTTTTTTTAAACTTTAATTCTGTATGAATTGCCAGTTTGGAATACCTTTGGGTTGAAAATAAACTGTATATATATTTCAACATTTTTCTGTTATTCTCAAATATTTTAGTTTCAAAATACATATCGTTAATATTGAATGAGTAATTTTTGTAGAGGAAATTGGCACTTTTTTTTGATGGACAAAATTATTGAATATGACAAGCTGGTTGAGTCGTCGTGAGTGATTTGTTCAACTCATTCAGTCGACTGCTAGGTGAAACGGTAGTTTCACTGCCTATCGTTCAACCTGTGCTAGGAATCACACTGTGAAAGGTAAGACCCCGTTAATGTTCAGCTATTTAGAGTTATTCGTTAGGGCGAGAGTTGGTTGATGAAAAAACGTATTTTTTTAAGTTACTGTTTAATATATAACAGTTTTTTTTGTGAAAAATACTTTCAATTGAGGAATCCAATGTTCCAAAGTATTTAATTATACAGTACCAAGCTCGTACGTTTACTAAAATTTTCAGTTCCAAACAATTGTTTTTTTTTTTAAGTACTTAACGCAGACCTCGAAGTACTCCATACACAAATATCAAGCAATAAATATACTTTTCCCGAACATCAGAAATGCCATACTCTAATTGAAGCGCTCATAGTAATTTACTTCATGCGTAGAATGAATACAAAACAAGCAACAACTTCATCTCCTTAAGACGCCAACTTGGTTGGTAAAATGCACAGTTTTGCAGTTCTGGTGTTGAAAGTAAAGTAAACTAATTAAATCATTTCTGCTCTACTTTTGATGTAATTACTGTATGGATTCCGAAAAACTAGAAACACTGAAATGGCGATACTAGATCTTAACAACAACTTTTGAAAAACTAGAGTATTCAGAAATAACTTTTTGTGATCTAAGCAAATCATTTGATTGTGTATCACATGAAATTCTCTTGAATAAATTAAAACTATATAATTTTTCTGACAACACTATAAAGTTGATCAATTCATACTTGAAAAAATCGATTTCAAACTGTGAAAGTGGGCAATTCTCTATCGACAAGAAAAAAATTTACAACTGGTGTACCGCAAGGATCTATTTTGGGACCTCTACTATTTATAATTTTCATTGATGACCTACCATATTGGGAGAACCCGTTATCATATATTTTATATGCAGACTATACTACAATCCAAACAAATGCTAAAACTCTAGATGATGTACTTATATTATCCTCTGAAGCACAGTCACAAACTGAAAGGTGGTTCAATGCAAACGAATTATATCTGAATAAAAACAAAACCCAAAACATGGTATTCACCCTAAGAAATACGGAAAATTACTCAAATTCGCAAAGTAGTGTGAAATTTTTGGGAATTCATTTTGACAGTGAGTTAAAATGGGATCATCATATAAATGAACTATCAAAAAAGCTAATGAGAAATATATTTTTACTAAGAAACCTCTCCAGACAAGTTTCAAAAGCAACTCTTTGAACGGCATATTTTTCCTTCTATGAATCAATCATTTCTTATGGTATTGTCGCCTGGGGACATGCAACCGATTGTGATAGAATATTCCGACACCATAGGAAAGCAATTAGAATATTAGACAATATCGGCTACAGAGATGAATGTCGAAATTCATTCATTACATTAAAAATACTAACCTTTCCTTCTCTATATATCATAGAAAATTTAATATAATTAAAAAATAATCTATCTCAGTATGAAAGTTTTGAAAATGTGCACGACTACAACACTAGGCATAAAACTGATTTGAGTACAAACTACTGCCGCTTAAAGAGATGTCAAAATGGACCAAATTTTTTGGGTTGTGAAATTTTACAATAAATTACCACAAAAAATAAGATTTCTACCTATTAACATATTCAAAATCAGGATAAAATATTTTTTAATGTGATTGTGATTTTGTGAAATGAAATTGTTCTGCATTTTTTGAATTTGCCTGAGGAAATAATTGATTTAATATCAGTAGGATCTCAGGGGTTTCAAATTAGATTTTTTTACGGTGTGCCATACAGAAATTAAATTTCAAGTTTGTCAATAAATTAGACTAAAGAATATTATGTTCAGATATTCAATAGATATAAACGATATCATTTTATATATTATTCCAGTTACTGGAATTTGTTTTCTGGACCCAAATCTAATTGAGGCAAAATAAGCTACCGATTTATACAGGAGTTCAAAAAATACCGAACTAATAAGTGTTGTATATTTTGGTTCTGAGTACTGCCAGCCTCAAATTCAGAAATTGAAACTTAAGAAAAAATCAATCCCCACAAAATAAAATTAGGTAACTTTTGAAGTTATTGTTAATTGGTTTTTAGATATCAATTTTGAGTAAAGAAATATTTTCAGGAGGTTTGAAGACGTTTTACTTGTAAAAAACCAATAAAAGACTTATGCATGTTCAGAATTTGAAAATTAAAGTACAGGAAATGGGAGCAATACATATTAAATTGTAATCAGTATTTATAAAATTTAGGAATATACAGCACAAAGCTCAATTTGTGGGTCGATTCAATTCATACTTTTTATAAATTACATTGCTAAGTAGGTGAAGAAATACAAGATAAAGTTGTTGATGAGATGTTATACAGGAACTTAAGAAGAAATAGACGTTAATATAACTATGGATAAAGCAATTACATATTGAAGTAAGATGTAACGAAAGACAAATCTATCTGTTCATAAAAATATAATTGCATTTGTCTAGTATTTCAGATCAGTGTTTTTTTCATTTGTGGAGTTGAGAATAAAATTCAAAATGTTCCTGATCAATTTGAAACGTCATTCTCCATCTTCAAAATGTTTGGATGTAAAACCATAAAAGTATAACTTGGGGTTTTGTAATACATCAATGAATAAAACTAAAAGGCTTCGAAAATAGTTTATTTACAATCATCTACAAAACTTATTTACATATCTGTTTACGAAAATGAAACAATAACTTATTCAGAACAAAAATAAATACATTTTATAAAATAAATCGCGAGTTTTTAGGAAAAAGAACATTGTTGGCAACCAATTTAGATCGGTATGTCATTCATCTAAACTTCAAGCTTGGTTACACTTACTACAGCTTTATTATAAATAAAAAGTATGTAGCTGTAAAACACTAGAATGTCCCTTTTTATCACATTTAAATATTGGATTCACTTCCAATTATTAGTTGAAAATCGACATGACTTGGGAAATCGATTATGGATTAGTTTGACAAGCTTACAAGGATTTTTTAAAAGCTTCTTGACGTTCATTCTTCAACATTTTTTCATTAGTCTTGCTTTGAAACTTCAAAAATATATTTTCAGTTATTTATTCGTATTTTATTTGAAGTAATTATTGATTGAAACTATCAAAAGCTATCTCTTGCTTGAGAAAGTTGGAAATAATATTCAGTTCAAACATTGAGATAGTTTCTCTTTGTAGTCTCAATAAATGTATTCATTATTTTTATTGTTTGTTGACAGATTTTGTGGACATTACTTGACGAAAAGTTTGAATAACCCTTTTGCTGAAAAATTATTATTCCTAATATTTACTGAAATGATAATAAGATGATTAGGCGTTTATGCTGTTAGGTGAAATTTGAAAAATTAAAATTTTGTTCATGTTTTCATTTGCATTTATACTTTTGGTCAACAAATTGTAACAAAATTCAATAACACTTTATTGTGAGATTTTCAAAAGCAGTTTACAAAACAACACATGTTTCGTGCTTCAGTAGCATCTTCGGGTCTCACAATACTGAAAGTATTGGTAAGAAGTTGAAACATTTTCAAGAAGAGATATATACAGCTATGTGTGAAATTCAGTAATCACATTGATATATAGATAGAGTGAGAATGAACGAGGAGTTTAAAAAGGTTTTTCAGTTTGAAATATCTTAGTGGCATTCAATTTTTTTCTATACCCGTTTGGCGCCAATAATGAATAATAGTCAGTTTTCAAGACAAACTTTAACACCCCCTATCTCTGAAAAAGAACCATTTGCAGACCAAAGATATATAGCAAACTATCATTATTTTTCTATGCAGAATCACCTCCTAAAGTTTGTAGCACTTATTCACGAATACTCCATATAGAGCAATGGTATTTCAAAATTCACGAGTTATTGTTCCATAATTTTTAAGCCATGTCAAGTGAAGTAACAGTCACTATAAAATTTCATGTGAAAAGAAAGTGTGAAGTTCAATTATATCAATTTTGATATTCAAACCAGCCTTGTAGACTAATCATTCCTTCTCAAGTCAGTTGCGTTAAAATTGGAAGAGCAATTTTGATATTTGGAACAAGCTCCCTCACACTTATGGGGACTATTAGTGACTTTGAAATACTTCAAAATGGGACTCTTTGGATTCAAGCATTTTTTACCTCTAGAATTACTCTCAGGCTTACTAAGTTTAGGTGAGCTGGCACCTACAGTCTTATCATACATCTCCTGACGGAGCATTTTTTCTATTCGAATCCTTGTCAACCAATCCTGAGACTTCTTTTTGGGAGGGGAGTATGTCAAGTGGGGTGCACTTCCATCCACCACGAAATTAGGTAAGTTTATTGTAGGTGATGAGGTGCAATTAACTTCGCTCTCTTCAGAAATGATTTCCAACCTCGGTAACTTTGTAGGTGGTTCAAAATTTTCATCGGTTGAGCTGGCAGGAAGTTCTCTATGGTGCCAAGATTCTTCGGTGGATTCACAACTATCACTGAGCGAGCTTAGTTGGCAATTTGCATTAGAGGCATCCGATAATTTTCGCATTTTTGTTGGCGGTTCATAATCTTCCGTACATTCTGAAGAATTACCATTTTCCAATGACTTGGCCAAATTTTCAGTGTTCAAATTTTGCAGATTGTTCAAGGGAGGAAACAATCTTCTAGGGCCGAATTCTGTGTGGAAAACTTTGTTAGCACTCTCCTGTCTGAAAATACTCTTGCGTTTTGATACTTTACTGCCACAATTTTCACAACACCTGGTAGCAGTCATCGTTTTATGACAACTACTGCACTCAGAATTCAGCTTCCTAGGTGTAAGAGATCCATAATCCCACTCTGATCCTGAATTTGAACACTTACCACACTCGTTTAATGGCAATACTTCTGCTTCTCCTCTACCGTTTACTTCCCAATCCTCAGGCAGTTCCTCGGGTTCAACAGTCCATAGTTTATGGGTCATATCGTCAGAGCAGGTTATTATGTGAAAATCTTTGGAGCACCAGGAAACACAAGTAACTTCTGCTGAATGTCCCGTTAGTTTAACAATTGGCCTAGACAACTTGGTGTCCCAGATGTAAGCATTCTCGTCACTACTTCCGCTTATCAAGTGTGAACTGTTCTTTGAAAGGGAAGACTTTACATAGAAGGTGTTATTTTGGTGGCCTGTGTATCTCATAACAGGTTCATTGGAGTAAGCTCCTACATTGTAGCAATATATAGTGTTATCCAGACAGTTTGCATATAACTTAATTCCTTCATTATCAATGATGATGCTGCTATATCCGTTTTTAGCACTGATGCCTGGATAGGGGATGGTGGTTTTTGGAGCAGCTTCCCTCTTATGGATGGTATAGTTCTTACGAAGATCCCATATTTTCAGGATCCCATCTCCAGCCCCACAAGAAATCAGAGTATTCGTCTCCTGGAATACTAACCCTGTGACAGATTTGGTCCCCGAGTTTGTAGGAGTGCTGAATTTTTTTCTTGATTTGCTAGGCGTGAACACCCTGGATGTATGTGAGTTGCTTATTATTCCATCTGCCCTACCAATGAAGCTGTTGGTTTCTGTTCTTGTATCCCATAGAATTATATTTCCATCTCTGCCGCCTGTTGCAAATACGTTAGAGTCGTCTTTACGGAAGGCAACCGTTTTAACTGATCTCGTATGGCCACAGAACATCCTTTCAGCTGTGATTTCTCCGTTTCCAATATCGTACATCTTTGAAGTGTGATCGCCTGAAGCGGTTACAAGTTTCATTCTGTCGAACATCCATGCCAGATCGAAGATTGCATTGTTATGTGCGTGTACACCATATCTGAAAATTAATGCTGATTAATTTACTATACAAGGAAATAATTTTTTTTTATTGATAGTGTCAAGTATTAGAAACGAAACACATCAATAAAATCTAAAAAAAAAATTGAATAGACCGAAAGTAGTACTGTAGTACTGATACATTTAAATTAGTTTAAAAGCGATTTTATTTAAATAAATATTAAATAGTTGATAGTAAACAGGGGCTTCCAAATATTGAGAAGTAACTCTATAGTATAATTCGATAAATCTGAAATACATTCATGAATACATAAATAGTATTTCGAAAGTGGTTGACAATGTTTTCTTGGGAATTTCATTAGTTCGGACTTCCATTGTCTGATATGATTCCACTATGATTCGAAATTTATGAAAGAACAAATAAAAGTAAATTGAATAGCTAAAATAGCAATTATATTAAGCAATAAAACCTGAAATGAAAATATAATAACCAAATAAAATAATCAAGATTCAAAATGAAAATGAATAAAAATAAACAAAAAGTAAAAAAGATTTCAAACCAAGTTACTTTACGACGTTTCGATTGTTAGTATCCACAATCGTCTTCGGGTGATGACTCAATCATCATGGTTATAGGACTCGAGCCCAAAGAAACTATATCGAGCCATAAAATTGATACCTTGATAAATCGACCAGAAGAAAATAAAATATGAAAATCGTAAATATTACAAGCCACTCATATAAAATAAATTTTTATCTTTTCTAGATACATAAAATTTGAATAGAAAATAAAAGTGAATGACTCGCAAATCGTAGTTATGATAATTACTACGACTTAGTGTCATGGAAAAATTAAAATTTATTTTATAATACAGCCAATAATTAGGTAATGTAGATTGAGACTAGAGTTAGAAGAACCAGCTACATAATGATTTCCTTAAAACTGGTTCTATACAATGACAATTCATGGATTTTTTTTTATAAATATTTCATCGATATGTATTTTTCAGTCTTCAGTTAAGTTTATTCCTAGAAATATAGTTGACTGTAATTGACTTATGGACTTGTTTCCAGTCTTTGTTAATAAACTGGTCCAGAGTTCTCCGAGACAAAGATACATTTTGTCTCATTTATGATTACTAGTAATGAGCCAAACAGTTGGATGACTGAAATCTTGCTAGGTTTCAACTAACATTGCAAATTCTTCAGAAAGAGTTGAAAAATCCCTCACTATTAAATAAAAATTCATATTGAATGAAAAATACTTCACTTATATTTCAATAATTTACTTGTAAAATTAATCTTTGACTATAATCTCACCTTTCTTTACTTTGAATATCCTGAACAGCTAATTTTCCATCTTCATTTGCTAGGGCCAGAAAATGTTCATTCCCTTCTTGTGGGGAAAACTTGCACGTGAATATGGGAGTGTCTCTAACGAGTTCGTCCTGTTCGCTCTGTGGAAGAAGCTGGCAGTATGAGTTCTGTCTCGTACAACGTAGTCTCTTAATCGGTGCATTAGTATTTCGCCAATATGCTGAAAATTAAATGAATATAATTTCTAATACGCATCCAGACAATTTGGAAAAGTGTTCTTCTGAAGCAAAATGAATTTTTTTTCTGAATGAACAGGCATTTTTTTGCAACAAAAAACTTTATATTTCACTCACAAAATCCACCTTGTTGACTGAATAAGGTTTGTGCGTCATTTAGTAGCATGTCGATATGCGAATAAAGCTCATGTAACTAATAGATGAGTGGTAAATGTTTTAAAACAAAACAAGCGGGAACACGCACAATTAAACAAATATTTATTATTTTATAACCTCAAAATATATCTTTTGACACAGAACACGAAATAATTTTTAGTAGAGTTTTCGAGAAAAACTTCTCAACAATAACTGCCTATTATATGCTGTGATCTATTCCACAGAACTTAGCCGAGCGTTCTACCACAGAACACCCTAACTAGTTGTAGTTAGGGTGTTCTGTGGTTCTACTAAGCGCTCACAATGATCAAAATGCTCTATTAGCCTTCCTACTGTTTTTTAAGTAAATAACCTTCCACAATCTGAAAAATAAAATCTCAATCAATAGAGAATCTGTTGAAATGTAATAAAGGGCAAACTGAAAACTTCACCCCGAAAAGTTACTGCCTAATATAAACCACTGAAGATTCCAATTAGTCGGTAACTTGAAAAAAATTAATATTGATACTTAGCTTTCTTTAGTGGTCAACGTTTCGGAAAACATTTTTTTTTATATATCTCTTTTCATTTGTAATATAATGTTGATTACAATTTTACACATTACTACTATTACCTCTTACCTTCGCAAAAGAAATTTTTGTTCCATTTGCCGTTGCTACCGCTTGCATGAATCTTTATATGTTGTTCACAATTTCTTTGGATTGTCCACAAAAAACCTTATTTTTCAGTATACTGTTCCAAGGCATTTTTGAAGACAAAATAATAACTCATAATTCATCATGCAGAATAATTCTCCCACTTGATGTACTGAAACGATGTCCACTACTCGAGTTCTTCGATGTTGATGAGCTCATGCCCACTCCACTGGCTGATCTACTGCGCATCTAATATTCAGAGGCACATTTGGATCTGCCAAAATGTATTTGATTGAATGTTAGAATAAATAAATTTATAACAATTTGACATTCGAGTAGAACGTTAACAATAAATTCGACAGCAAGTATAGCCAACATTGTAATATGATGTCTAGTGTGGGTAATTTTGTAATTTTACAATTTATCATTTGTAACAATCCTCTCAGATCGCCACAGAGGACGATTCTGCCAATAACGACTGCCTCAAAGATGGCACGTGGATGTCGTGGTCGGAATGGAGTCCACAAGAGAGGTTTATTCCAAAATAAAGTTAAGTCGAATGAATATTGAAGTGAAATACATATTGAAAGAACTAGCGTCCCACTTCGCCAGTAACCAAGCTAGATGTCAAAGGATTCGACGATGTCTTCAGTTCGATAATAAATATGTGTTTAGTGGTTTTGTCGATTTGTGTTATTTTTATGCGAAGGCGTTGCCTTGTACAAGACCGCTGCGCTCCCGAACGAAGCTTTTGTTCACTATGTATAGGAGGAGCTTGGTCAAATGCGCTCGAATGAGAAGCAAACGTGTCTAGCGCCTGAATGGAAGAAAAAAACCATTATCATAGAGAGAGAAAAGCATAGGTTATGAAATTAGAGAGAGAGGGAATCCTCCAGTCACTCAACCCTACCCTAACCTCTAATAATTTTTGTGACTCTAACCTAACTTACTTCTGAAATAGTTATTCTATATTCAATTTCTTACAGTAAAAAAAGAATAAATTGCAAGTATTTACTTTTTAAAACAATGGTAGTGAGTGTATTCATGAATTATTTCTCTTTCCCGTCATTATTACATTCAACCACTGAATGAGCAGTTGGAAGAAGTAAATATCCTGCTAATCTGTAATACAAACCCAATATGGATCGTCCACTACTGATTGCAGCGCGAAGGTTACTCCTCAAACGAATGTTCTCTGCAAGGCCTTGCGCAATTCCTGAAGAATGTGTTATAAACGATATTGAAAACAATGTTCATAAACCAAGAAATCATCCTGGAATCATGACTCCAAGAACTGTACTCATTCCAGAATCCTTCATAAAAGCCGTGATTAATGCCACCCAAGATTATCCCCTTAAAGCTTTATTAGAAGGAGGTGAAAAACTTGGTAGGCACCTCAATGGAAGAGTACCTCCATTGGAGAAAGAAGAAATTAAAGAAAGAATCCAAAGTATTCAACAGAAAGTTTTATCTCGCTGTGATAATCTTTCCATCAACTCAAAAGATGATGAACATAGATTCAAACAAAGGGTTCATGATAAAGTAAAGAAAATAGTAAGTGAACAAATTTACAACTGGAAACCGATAAAGTACGATGTATACAACTCGTTGCTCTATCTGTTGAACAGGTCGGCTGCTGAATATGCTGTTTTAGTAAAAATACTTGGAGAAATTGAATTGCGAGATAAAGGTTTCAAGCCTCGAAGTTTATTTGACTTCGGGTCTGGTGTTGGAACTGCAACTTGGGCTGCAAATACATACTGGAAGCAGAATATTTTTGAATATTTTAATGTTGATATATCAAGGGATATGAATGATCTAGCTCAAACACTTCTACAAGGTGGTAAATTCACAGGAAAACAGAATATGAAAGGAGTTTTTCATAGACAGTTTTTACCTGCCACTAAAGTAACATATGATCTAGTATTTTCAGCTTACTCTATGCTTGAATTACCATCTCTACAAGCCAGATTAGAAACGGCATTGAACCTTTGGAACAAAACTGAAAAATATCTCATAATCGTGGAACAAGGTACGAATGCTGGATTCAAAATTGTTAATGAAATCAGAGATTTTATTCTTCAGATTGATAAAGAGCCAAATGTAGGAACAGTATTCAGCCCCTGTCCACATGATGATACATGTCCAAGATTTGTGCTAGATGATGGAACGCCTTGCAATTTTGAAGTAACCTATTTTTCTCTTCCAGTAGGGGCTTCTTCTGAATCCAGAAAAGAGCTCTACTCTTATGTAGTTTTAAAAAAAGGAAGACCTGAAGAAATCGATCAGCGGTGGCCGAGACTGGTCAGACCAACTCTTGTAAGGTCAAAACATTCTATATGCAGGATGTGCTCAGCCAAAGGAAAACTAGGAGAAGTGATATTCACAGCTTCTAAACATGGAAAGTCAATGTACCATTGTGCGAGAGCCTCAAAATGGGGCGATCTTTTACCTGTTAAAATCCAAGATACAATAGAGGATGTAGATTGTGATATAACAGATCAAAATTGAAGTGAACAGTTTGGTTTTATTATACATGTGTTATTGTAATTCAATAATATCAGTTGTGACTGAATGTATATTTTTGGACAGTTTTCAGAGATTATAATACGTTCAATGTTGGTCGAGAAATGAGAATAATAATTCATTCTTAGCTCATTGTGTCTACTTATTGCATATGATTCTTGAACCCATTGATCACTCACATCATGGTATAGATAGTTGTTAATGATGCTTACATGCTTTCCAAATGTATTAGATACAGGGCTTGATCATACCATTTTGGTAAATAAAAAATCAAAGCGTTTGGTCATTATATCCCTTGGCAGAGTTTAGCAGTTTTTTTTTAACTTATGCTCTAAAGAAAACTCTTTCAAATATTCTTTAGTATTATTATATAAAATAAAGGCTCTATAAAAAAAAGGATTGTTCAAATTGTTTGGTTTTATGATGAAGAATAGAATATTCATGCTACATCTGGCTTCAATAGGAGATATTGAGGTGGGTAGTTGTTTTTTTCTGAGCTTACGAATGAATTAAGTCAGATGCAACACCTTTCAGCAGCGGTGTTAGGATACCCCTGCTGGGTTAGGTGTCATCTATGAAGGTAAGAGTTCTTATTCTAATCCTAAGATGTGTATATTTCTGTATCGGAAGGATGTATGCTACTGAACACTAATGGAACTTTTGAGATACAGGACACTCCCTCATCATAGAAAGTATTGTCATGATTATGCGGGATTTTGACGAGATGAGCCTACTTTTCCTAGCTACTCGCAGTACCTCATATGTAACTTACATAAACCACTGACGTGGTTAGTAAAACATATTAAGAGAACAATTTACAAATTTATTGATTCTTTTCGACAAAAAACGTTGATTATTTTTGGCAACAAAGTTATTTTCACTGGTTTAACTTCATATTCTTCATTGTCAATAGAAAACCAAACTTCCTTTTCTTGTACCTTGGGATTAATGTTGACCGTTTTTGCTTCAATTACTTCGCTAACGTCTTTCTTTTCACCTTTTTCTAATTTGAAGCCGTTCTTAAGAAAATCTAAGTATTGCACTTTCTCTGGTCCGATTTCCATTACCAACTTTGGAACCTCGTTTGACTTTGATAAATCAGGCATAATGTTAAGTGTTGATAATGCTAGATCCGCAGTCATGATTTTTTTCTCGTGAGATTTGTTGCATTCAGGATTGTTAATAGCTAAATATTTAGCCTGAGGATGCTCTTCTTTGACGAATCTAGAAAAAAAACGCCCGTATGTATAACCTAGCTTCCAGCTAGTGGAATATAAAATTACAGAATCTCAAGTGAAAAGATATTTATTGTAGTTGTTTTTATTTCTTTCAATAATTATTGAAAATGAAGAATATTTTCACAATAATAGCATACCATTCATGAAATTTAGTACCTACCTGGAAAACCAACCATTTTTAGGTGTTATTTGTGGTTGTTTGCAGCAATTAGAGCAACCCTGACAAGGGGTACTGTAGCTGATTACAGCTTCACAATTCCATGATAGCTTACTCTTAAACCTAGAAAACAAATGCAGTTGCTTAGTAAAGTGGATTTTAATGGTTGACAGAAAGCATAATGCATGAGCTTCGTTCCAGTATATAATTACAAATAAGCAAAGGCAACTATAAATCATAGACTGTTTTCTGGACATGAGAAGAATGAATTAAATGACAGAAAGACGTCACAAGTAAATTTAAAAAAGGAATCAGAAAAATATAGTGGAAAATAGATACACAATAGTACCAATCGTATAATTATAAATAACAATTAATTACTAGGATAATATACTGACAAAATACTGTAGTCTACAGAACATATTGAAATTATTAGAAAAAAAATCAACTGAACATTCTTCATTTACACTTACCCGTTGAAAATATAAGTGGCATAACTCCTGAATGGGCCAAAATACCAATAACTATCTTTTTTCGCTTCTGCATCTCTATAAGCACCCCATTTGAGGCAGCTAACAGCATAAACTGGCTTGTTAGAGGTGTTTTCCTCATTCATTACTTCAATTTTCATAACATCTGCAGGCTTTATTGCTTCTTCAATTACAGCCATTGTTGCCTCTGCTAATGCTCTCACTTTTTCATGTTTATCACCTTGGGAGAAATACACTGTTGCAACTGTATTTGTTCTTCCAAGAGGTAAAATACCTGAAATATTTCAACAATTTCATATAATTGAAACCAGAACATATATCTCCTGACAACATTCACCTAAGGGTATATTGCTAACATTTTCATTAGTTTTTCTTAGAAGTCCAGTCACAACTTCTGATATAGTGCCATCACCCCCTGCAACTACAATGGCATCAGTTCCTGCGATTTCCTCTATCAACTTTTTGGCATGTCCTTCGGATTCAGTTTTTTTAACATCAACAGAAACACCTGCCAGATGTAAGAGTGGTGCACAATATTTTTCAAATTCTTCTGATGCTTTACGTTCATTAGCATTAGGGTTTAATATTACAGTAATGTGACGAGGGTCTATGTTCAGAGGTATCGATTGTTTCCCATATTTAGCAGCTTGTTGGCAATAAAATCTCATCAACTCTTGAGTCCTATAAAAGTATTTTTAAACTGTTCCCAATGTACACAAGACCTAAGAGGTGGATCAATAATTACAAAAACAAGAATGTAATTAACAAAACTTCAGGCTGATTTGGAAATTAACTTACTGTAAATAGTTTTTAGTGTAAATCACTCCATAAGTTATCAAAGCCGTGGCAAATGCTGATTTTTTCCAATGGTTTCTGATGGTTTTGGCTGTTTTAACAATAACTAACATGATTAATGAAAAATCTACACCTGAATAAATTTATTGGTAAATCATTATTTTCTAATCAATTTTCTGAATATCAAACTTGTGACAAATTGATATAGGTTAGTTTCTTGGCTGATGGTCTTTAGAGCGCTGGTTTGGTTAACTGGAAAAAAATAACATAGAAGGAGGAAGAAAGTATTCGAAGAGATCATTGTCCTCAGAACTCTGAGTCATTGTCGCAAAGCAGATTTAGTTTTCCTGCAAAAATAAGGACACCCCAAAAAAGTTTCAATATTTTTCAATATATAAATGAAAATATTTTATGGAGGTACTTATCAAATATATCATCTCAGTTCAGGGAACGTATTCCAAAAACACTTTATTGTGAGATTTTCACTAAATTGTTTTACAAAAACGCAACACGTGTTTCGCCATACAATGGCTTCATCTGGCGTGTCTTTCAAGTTGAAAGACACGCCAGATGAAGCCATTGTATGGCGAAACACGTGTTGCGTTTTTGTAAAACAATTTAGTGAAAATCTCACAATAAAGTGTTTTTGGAATACGTTAGTTATGGATTTTCATCAAGTATCGGCCGATTCCATCATATATCAGTTCAGGGATATTTTCCGGGAAACATTTATAATACTGGTTCACTCACTCAATTTCTTTTTAAATCTACAGTCATTATAAAAAACTGAATTCACACGTTATCTGTGTAAACGAGTATTACAATAAACTGAACAAGTAATATTAGAATGTTGGTGACTATTGGGTTTCTTATGGTAATGACTTCCATGTGTTTGAATTATAAATGATTTCGTTCACTTTTTTGTTCATCCCGAATATCAAAAAACGAAAATGGATGAATATAAAGACAGCATATAACATTAGAGTATCAGAGAAAATGCATCAAATCATCTATGTTTACTAATTAAGGTGGATGAATTTATTCAGTAATATCTATATAATGGTCATTCAACTGAGAAGTTACTCATTGCTCAAACTTGATTTTCATGAGTATAAATGCGCATTAAATTCATTGAATAAAATTACTTGGCTTTATTTGAAACTGTATTACCAATATTCTCTCACATCATAATGATTATGAATGCCGTGTTCGTTAACTTTAAAAACAAACATTTTAAATAAACGATATGATTATTATCATAATATCTATGCAGTTCTCATTTACGAATGTTCAGGTTATTAAATGTTTTGTTTTCCTATTAAAAGTAAGTAGATACTTGAGACGATAGAGGCAAAAGTTCAGAAGATAGAGATCTACTCTCTAGTGAAAGCTTGCAAATAGCAGTATCAATGAATGGAATGTCTGGGAGTAAATCGAAGCTGCACTTGTTCACTCTCATGTGTCAACGAATATCCTCATGAAACCTAGAGTCATAAATCGAATTCACCAAGAAAACGCAATGAAATATTCCAATCAAAATTTGAGAATTGGCGGCAAATTCAAAATAACTTTTTCCACAAACCTTATAATGATGTTTACATTTTCATATAACATAGGCTATGAACAAATATACATGTAAAATTACTATTCTCAAAACTGATTTTTATAATGTGGAGTGAATTTGAAAATATTTTCATAATTGTACACAGCAACAAACATGAATCGTTCATTTTCATTACAGTGCATAGCAAAATGAATCACTTTTTCACTAGTCTTTCAACCAATTTCAATATTTTTACAACTTCCCCTGTAGAAGATAGAAGCTTATCAGCAAAAGTATTTATATTTACTGCTGGTGCAATCCTGAAAGTTGCAGCTGCACCTTTGAGTTCTCGCATAGCGTCTTCATCTGTTGTATCATCACCAGCAAATACAACTTTTACATCATTTTTCCAATTCACCCCGAACTTCTTTTCCAGAAGCAAAAGGGCCACTTTTCCTTTATTCCAATCTACTTTTGGCCTCGCCTCCAAAGCACAGTGAGCTTTCCCTACTTTGAAGTTCGCTTCCTCTATGATTCTTTGAGCTGTTTGTTCAATTTCGCCTCTTAAATTTTCAGGAGTTGCTCTGAAATGGAAAGTCAGAGTACTTCCTTTATTTTCTATCCAAGCTCCATCCCTTACTACCTCTTTTTCTAGTTTTGCAATCAAGAGATTCACCTGATCTTCAAAATTTTCTGGTAGTTTGTGTCGATATGTAGAACCATCAGGGTACAATACTTCCATTCCATGATTTCCTGCATAGGTTATGGAGTTAAGTCCAACCATATTCTTCACATTGGATACTGATCTTCCTGAGATAATAGCTACGAAGACTTCTGGTCTTTGAGAAAGACTATGTAAGATAGTTTTAGTTTCTGATGGAATTTTGGCCAAGTCCGGATGAGCAACTATGGGTGAAAGAGTACCATCATAGTCAAGTAGTAGTGCGATTTTCGAAGAATTATTTAGATATTCAGTCAAATATTCTTCATAATCATCAAATCCTTTCAACATTCTGTTATATTAAACCATAAATAAAGTGACTGGAAATTTATAAAATGACCTTTCGACAGAATCATAATTCAAGTAAGTTCACTGATAACGGTTGAAAAGGTCATATTAAGCTTAATCATTATCGCATCTACCATTTTCACCGAATTATTTTTGTTTTACAATCATACGTTACGTAACAAATATTTGGGGGTTATCATGCCAAATACATCTGGCAACAATGTATGAATTACTATTTATTTGCCACATTTAGGAAAGTAAGGTTACATTTCGTTATTTTCAATACAAATATATTGACTTTCATTCAAGGAAAACTTTATGATATAGACTTTTTGTAAAGAACCTTCCTTAATCTGCTTACATTTGGAATGTTACCCTTGAGTAAGTTTGGACAAGTTCGTTACATTAGTTACAATTCCATAAGGACTTGGTATGCCAACCTGGTGAAACCAAAGCCTAAAGAACCACCTTATGAGCATGTAGTTCAAATTGGTGACCCATTATTACGAACTGTCTCTGAAGTAGTTCCTCCAGATTTGATAAAATCCAAAGAGATACAGTTCCTTATCAAACGCCTAAAATACACCTTCGATAAATATAATTGTGTTGGACTTTCTGCTCCACAAATAGGATTGTCATTCCAAATATTCATTGCCGAGTTCAGTAAAAAGCATGCCAAATCATATAGTGAAAAGGAGTTCAGAAATAAAGAAATGACTATTCAACCACAGCAAGTAAGTTTATTTTCTGATTCCCTCTTATAAATTGAAAAATCATTCTATTAGAAATAACAATGATAATAATAATCCATTTTTTTTCTGATTGATTCGGCAGTTACTTGATGAGGATCTATAGTAATTTCAAAAACTACACGTAACGATTTGATCTCCATAAACTTGATTTGAAAAATATTTCACGTTTCAAATCACAACGTGATTTGAATTCAAATCACTTGACAAAGCTACTGTGTTAGCGAAACATGTGAAATATTTTTCAAATAAAGTTTATGGAGATCAAATCGTGAGGTGTAGTTTTTGAAATTAATCAGCCATTTATTGGCAAATGAGTCGACAGAAACTTAATCTTCTTCCTTATTAACAAATATAACTGGAACTTTTGTCTTAGAATAAATCCACGACAAACACTCTTCCCAAACACCATAACTGGAATACTCTTCTCGATGTGCATTTCATCAACAAAGTAGGCGTCTACAATTTTGTTCATAACAACTTTTACATTCTTGATCATTCTGTTTTTGTTGAAGGTTATCATTGTTTCATTAGCAATTATAAAGCCAAAATTGACCTTACTTTATTTATTTTTTCTTGAGCAGATTTATGGATTGTCAAAAAAACGAAGCTATATGTTAGGCTTATACTCACCCAAATTTGTGAAAAAATTAAATTATTGAGGCACTTATATCAATTCTTCCTCTTTAATGTCTTCATAAAAGCCAAAAAATTCAATCCTTACTCTATCATGAACTCAAAGATGAAAACTTCTCTGCCATACAAAATTTGATTATTGCAAAATATAACGATTGAGGGGTTTTTCACTGTGAAAAAAAATCAGTAATTTCATCAATTGTTGGTGAACCATTATATCTAAGTTTTTCAGCACCAATGTTCAGTTGTGGGATATATAAATCTGACAGTTTTAGGTCATTATCAATCCCGAAATTAAAATTTTGGATTATTCAAAAGTGGTGTTTCCTGAATCATGTGAGAGCGTAAAAGGCTACTATGCTGAAGTACCTAGATACCAAGCTATAGAACTGAAAGGTATCTCAGTGCTGAAATTCTACAAGTCGTTGATATATCCAACAATTTTCTATTATTTCAGGTAGAGACGAGAATGGGGCGGAAATATCCTTCAAAGCTCACGGATGGTGGGCCAGAATTATACAGCATGAACTGGATCACTTGAACGGACGTCTGTATACGGATATCATGAAAGCAAAAACTTTAACGTGTTGTTGCTGGGATGCTGTCAATGAAAGAGGAGGGAAAGTAATTTTATCTTTCAATGCTGATTAGCATTCACTATATTTTATGAAATAATTGAAAAAAACTATGTTCTGATTCAATAATAACATAGTTTATTTAAGACTAGGAACTAGATGTGTAATAAAAGACTGTGATTCTTTACATAAAAGTAATGTACCATTATCTTGATTTACTACAAAGAATAATGGCTATATTAGCAAAGATTTGCAAAACTTATGAAAAAATTATGTGTTTGAAGTGTGAACCCATGTAGAACCAGTTTGCGGTTCTGCTGCTCTTATTTCATTAGGATAAGTCACCAAGAACAGTTCATGACCATTAATGTACCTGAAAAAATGTTTAGTTAATAAGCAAATATGTCAAATAAATTGAACACTTCATAGTAATACGTTATAGGTGTTGAGCAAACTACCAAACTGTACTATTATATTTTAATATTGGCTAGTGTGCTTCAGTTTTTTCAAAATTTTCAGACAAACGAAAATGGACTTAAAAAACTAATTTGATAAAACTGGTACATGCATTTGCTATTAATTTGATGTATTTTTCACATCAATAAAACTTGGAACAGAGAATCTGAAAAAGATTCAGGGAACATCAACACATTTCACATTTAACCACAAGAAGTGACAAAACCCTCTTTGGTTCCTGATTTGTCAAGTGTTTTTCCTGTCCAAGAAAGGATTATTTCTTCTCAGTTTTTTGGCAATCTCCTCATTATTTGTAAAATGCATAAATATGTGTTTTTTATTATATAGTTCATGTATTTTTTTGTACGTTCTGAGTTTATGTGATTCGATTGATTATGTCATGTCACTTGAAAACGAAGTAAAGTTGTATAAAAGTCACACACACACTGGATCAAATAGGTACTTTTAAAGTCTAAAGTCAATGATAGACTTGAGTAATTCTACTCTGCATCTAAATATCAAATTAGGTGTTTCTCAACAATTGTTAAAAGTCAATGACATTCCTCAAAATGTATCCTTATTAAAGTTTATCTATTGGTCCATATACATCTTGCTTGATAGCAGCTAAGGATGTCATAAATATGTCCGTTAATGCAACAAAGTTGGCAAATGAAGTATTAGACTGGTGTGCTTGCAACAACCTTTGCCAGAATTTTGATAAAACAATTTCAGTACTATTTAATGTTAAACTTGAACTGGAATTCGATGTTCTAGTGAAACTTGGGGTAAAAATCTACTTTGGCTCATCCATTTACAAAATTTTGAGGAATGAAAATTCGTCCATGGCATGTTTCAAATACTGTTGGAAAGGTGAACAGAATTCGAGATGCAATTCATCAAATAAGTGGTTCAACCATACACATGTACAGTAAATTCTAAGCTATGGGTTGGCCTTTTGGATAGCTCCCATAATTCTGCCAGAACTTTTGTGGCACAGAAGGAACCTGATCGAAACAGGTTATCGTGATCACTTTTCATAAAATTTGAACTAACGCCTTTTTGCAAACGTCCACGACAATTCAGCCATATTTTCAATTGTTTCCAACTATGTGCTTCGACTGACAGTATGAAAATTTGAAAATATCGCTTTTTCAACATGGCGACACACTTGCGCTTGTCACATGATTAAAAGGCCTATTTATGGCCAAGCAGTGTTGCCAATTGTCTTATCAGAGCTTGCTACTTACTACTGAAGTTGGCTGGGATTGTTTGGTTCCATATAATGAAATGAAACATCACACAATTGCATGTAAAAAACAGTTATCATCATCTGACTTATGGCATCTTAACAGTCAAGTCAAGATCGTAGCTCTTCCAAAGCTGATATTACTCATTCACTCTGATAACCAGGCTGAGCGGTACATGATGTTCACATAAGAGTTTCAACTTGCCTATTCAAAAGTGTGCAAGTCAAAGACAATAATAATGTGACCAAATACAAGAGAAATTCGCGTCTATAATATAATACAATGTTTGTTGTATGCAGCCATACTTACAGATTTCTGTTGGGCACCCGAACCGTCCGTTCTCCATCAATCTCTTGCGTCGTGTATTCGGCGAACAACTGGCCAGCCGCTTCCTCGTCTTCGATGTGCAGTTCGCTGCTTAGCTCCTCCTCTTCCACAACCTCTTGTTTCTCAACTTTGGAGAGCGACCGAGACGCCTTCGCGCCGCCCGGACCTTTGTTGTGCGTCCGCTGGTGGCGCTTCATATCGGACCGAACACGGAACGGTTTGCCGCATACGGCGCACGTATGCGGTTTTTCTCCCGTATGGATTTTTCGGTGATTTTGGAGGTAGGACGAGGCGCGGAAAGATTTGCCGCAGAATTCGCACTTGTAGTTGCGCTCACCTGGAAGAGAGGATCGAGGATTCAATCAATTTATATATGGAATCTTAGATTGTTCCCTCTTAACAAAAACCTGTTCTTAGATGTAGAACAAATCGAAATAAAGTAAAGCTATAATAAATTTAAATGTGTCTTCAAAAAATTAGTAACTGATTTACTTATTCTTTTACTTCAATTGGCCGTAGTGGTAGTGCGCCCGACTCACGATCGGAAGACCGTGGATTCGATTCCTGCCTCGACCAGATATTTTTCTCGAGAGAATTTATCTGGTTGAAGCTGGTATGATTCTGCAACCGTGTTAGGAATCACACGTTAAAAGGTAAGGCCTCGTTAGTCCTTAGCTTGCACAAGTTTCTCAACTTCTGAGAGTTGTCGTTCGTATGGGGGCGACAGCTGAGTAACGGAAAAAGAGATTTTTTCAAACAGACTTCAGTTTTGACTAGGTCACTCTGAAATACTCTGGTACTTATGATAGAAAATGTTATATTTCTTTTAGCAAATGAAAACTATGGAAATATATTGTAAATATCTGTTCTATTTCTATAATTGAATAGAACTGGTCGATACTTGATGAAAATCCATATTAAAAAACTAATCAATATAGTTTATTGTATGATTTTCACTATAAAAGGGTTTTACAAAAACCGCGACACGTGTTTCGCTATAAAATAGCTTCTTCAAGCATAAGTTTATGCGTGAAGAAGCTATTGTAAGAAGCTATTGTAAATAGCTTCTTCAAGCATAAGTTTATGCGTGAAGAAGCTATTGTACAGCGAAACACGTGTCGCGGTTTTAGTAAAACCCTTTTACAGTGAAAATCATACAATAAACTATATTGATTAGTTTTTTTTGTTCTATTTCTGGTGTCATTTTCTATATGATATTGTTTGCACCTAGTTTTGATATGCAAATCAAAGATTTTTTGCAAACATCTTTTTTGTAAGATGATGTTATTCGTATAGGTGGACATTTCCTCGAACATAATACCATACCTTAAACAACTTTGACACATAGATATAACCTAACTTTCTGGTTTCATATTGTACACTAGTTGTTGCTACCAACTTCGTTTGTAAGGACTTTTCAAGTCTTAACCCAACGTGTGGCAGATAGATACCCAACGGTAAAACAACAACTAACCCAGCTAATGCAGAGAGATTCCATGACTAGCTGGAATTATATTTGTTTGGTCATGATACTCAGACGGTTCACACCATTCTGAAGAGATCATGCCCGGTACTGATGGTTGGTCAGATCGACCAACCGATAGTTGGAGTTATGTGTCTAATAAACGTGAGGATCAGTTTCTAAGGAACACAAAGTTTCTTGCATCTTCCACAATTATTGCAAACAGTATGGTAATTTATTGAGAATATTAGCCCACACCGTCACAGTTCAAAAATTTTCCTCTGTATAGTGCCATTTTTATGCCCTGAGTAGAAGTAGTGTGACTTAGTTCTGGTACATAGTGTACCACACTGGCTTAATATTATTAATGTGTCGAATTTGATTCAGTTGACGATAAAGAAGGATATAGAAAAATACCATTTATGTGTTTTAGATTTGTTGGGCCTCGAATAGTGTCGTCGTTGAGAGTAATGACAATCAACACCTCAACTTTGTGAATCTTCATTGGGAACAATTGATATTGTGATATTCAGCAAGCATAACTTGGCTACTGATAAACAATTTTTTAAAAGTAACTGAAGTTTATCAGTGAATGTTTTCAAGGGCTATATAAATAAAAACTATTAAGAAGTTAACCTCATTGTACATAATATTGTACAAAATTTCAAGTCACATTTTCTGGATTCTTTTCTTTCGCAAAACTTATTTGGTAATGGAGAATTCCCAATGTTTTTTATACCTGTTATAGTAAACTACAGTCAACCTGAGACTATGATGCTTACCTGTATGTATTCTGCGATGTACAACTAAAGAGTACTTCCTAGCGAACTCCTTGCCGCAATATTCACATTGGAAGTTCTTCTCGGTTGAATGCAAGGAGGTTATGTGATACTTCAAATCACCCCACTGCCGGAATCTCTTGCCGCAGTGCTCACAGCTGTAAGGCTTGTCACCAGAGTGAAGTCGCAAATGAACCTAAGAGGAATTTGAAATTGTTTTTTTAATACGAGTGAAATTGAAGAAAACACAGATCTTGAATTTTCATAGGTTATCAGTGAGTAATTTTAATTATTATGATTATTGATATTATTCTTTTCATAAATAAATATCTATAATAGAAGAATAGTTTATAAGTGCTGTTGAACATTGAGTTTTACACAAGTCAAGAACATAATCGAAATAAAGTAAAGCTATAATAAATTTAAAAAGTTTACAATTTGAAATAATTTTATCTATTAACATACAATGTTAGTCAATGTTAGATAAAAATATCAGGACAAAATGGTTTAGACTTTCGCGGCTGAGGTTTTGAGTGTCATTATTTTTTGAGTTTGAAAGCCGTGGATTTTTGAAATTTCTCCCTGACGTTTCGCTGTCCGATCGGACAGCAAGCCATGATGGTTAAACCTCTGAAGAAGCTAGCCACTCGCGCCAGCAAAACGTCAGGAAGAAATTCCAAAAATCCACGGCATTCAAACTCAAAAAATAATGACACTGAAAAATATCAGGTTTCAATACGTTCATTTCCAGGTTTTTTAATTCATTTCATATATAAAAAATTTTTTGGCATTAATTTCTGCATCATTATATGGAAAGTGAGTAACTTCAACTATGAAGATTGAATTACATGGAAATCTCTTTTTCTCATATAGTAATGGGACTGAAATGTCGTAAAATTCCTTCAGGTTGTAGTGCAGGTCTTTAAGACTCAAGATAGGAATATCAACCTGCCAGGAACATAAGCGTTATTGATTTTGAAGTGGAGAGATCGTTACAAACCAACCTCATACTTAGGTAAATGAAAAAATATATTTTCAGATCAGAAGAATTTACCCACACACTTTGGATCAAACTCTAACCTTACCTTCAAGAGAAACTTTGAATCTCCAGATGGACTTGTAGAAGTGTTAAGTGAAAAGAATAGTCTTTACCTCATCAGCAACTTTTTTGAATAATTCTGAAGACGATTAGCGTAGTTCTTCCACAAACTTTTCAACTTTGTCTCTGGACAAGACAAATGTCTATTGTCACAATGACAATTTGTGAAAAATTCAAACAACTGAGCTAATTTAATCCCAGCTATAGGAATTTCACTTGATAAAAAGGAAAAAGGTTTTCAAGAGAGATACATTATTGTAAAAAAAGCCATTTTGGTTTTCTACTTCCCCATCAAACACAGCACTAAAATTCTTCACAAAGATTGGTTTGTTCTTGTTATTAACTTATAAGTTGTTATCTATATATAAAATTATAAACTTATAAGTTGTTATTTGAAAAATCTATAAAGCAGACTTCAATAAACAGCTCTGCTGAATTCTCACCTTCAAAGCACTGGAAGCAAAGAAACTCTTTCCACACTGGTCACACTGATGGGGACGAATACCAGTATGGCTCCTCATGTGATACACAAGGGAGTTTTTATGAGTAAAAACCCGATCACATTCGACACACTCATGAGTTGACTTCTTCTTGTTTTTCTTATTTATTTTTTTGACCACTGCGAGAGGAGCTGATTCTGAAAAAAAATTGTGAAATCAGTTGTTGAAATTAATAAATATATCTTCTCCAACCTGTATTCCCAGTTGTTGCTCTACAGGTAACTAGATGTTGAAGTAAAATGGCCCTTAGAGGAAATGGCTGATTACAAAAATGACAAATATGGTCACTGCCAGCTTCCAATTCTTTCAAATCTTCTTCCGTTTGATGAAGCTCTTCTTCTCTGTACCATGCTTTAGAATCGTCTTCATCATCATGTGGTTCATTTGTGTCCACCACTACATTTATACCTAATATATGTGATGGTAAAATAAATTTCATCAATAAAAACGAAACTTGACAAATGGTATTCAACACTAACCTTCCATCAAATCCTCAGGTTCGCTAAATTCATCCAGCGGTTCATTCTTGCTAGTGTGTATGTCTCTCATGTGAGCTTCAAAAGTTTTCTGTCTCCTGAATGTTTTGTTACATTCAATGCAGGTCAAATTCAAAAGGCTCGAAAGCAAACTCTCCTGTCTTTCATTTTCAACTGTCTCAGTTTTCTCGGGAGATGTGGTTTTCTTTTCTGGGGCTGTCTTAGGGGGAGAAGTCGGAAGACCTCCACCGCCAGATTCATAATGTTTCTTTAAATGCTCGAAAAACCTTTAATGAGAAGAAAATGTGAACCACGACGTATAAACTTAAAATTCTAATATTTAATAGAAAGTTTAATGGTAATTGAAGCTCCATTTATATATTTTGCAAATTGTTTTCTGTCACATAGAGTTCAAAACAAGTTACGAATATTTCTTCTTGGACTGATGTGTCTTCTCAGATCAACCCTTCAATGAACACTTTATTGTGAGATTTTCACAAAACACTTTTACAAAACCGCAACACTTGTTTCAATATACAATGGCATCTTCAGGCGTATCTATACAAAACTAAAACCTACATATTCAATGCTTTTTATATGGGAAATAAATGTTTTGGCTTTCTAATTATTTATCTTGATACAAAAAAATGTAGGAGTCTTCTAAATAAAAATGTGTAGATCATGCAAAGAAGTAACTTTTAGATACAAAACTGGAAGATAAGCTCTCTTGAAACACCTACTTTCACATAAACATACTCAAAAGAAAAAAACTTTCAAAACAAATACTTTTTATATGAACACTGAGTTATACAAAAAACACTTTTTCCTGTTCATTTTTACAAATTGGAAGTACCTGAGTTTTATTTACAAAATTAATGTTGAAAATGTGTACCTTGGTTTTTCGAGAGTCTAGATTATTTATGATTCCCATAATTCCAAGATTGAATTGGTTGTAAAAATGTATATATTTAAAGAATATTACTTACTTGAGCTGTTCTGTGAATGGCTGATTACAAATTTGACAGTTAAAGGTATTGACTTGATTGACAGGAGTAATAGTAGTTTGACAAAGTAGTTCATGTTGTGCAAATTCATCGTTAGAGTTGAATGATTGTTCACACAAGTTGCACACAATCTTTCTAGGGGAGGTGCTAGTAACTTTCTTGAGTTTCCTTGAAATTCGTTTTTTATGTGGCAAGCTCTTTTTAGAAGTAGGTTGATCATTTCTAGAAAGAAAAAATGAATGAATCATGATTTATTGAATATTTCATATGCTCACCTAAAAGATTCTCTGTCTGAATCAGCTTTTTCATCTTCTTTTTTAATTGGTAATTTTTGGATTTCTTCAGAAAAATCATCATCCACGGTAGCAAATCTGACACCGTCAACTAACTTGGGTAATGATTGCTGTTCGACATAAATATTATCAGAATTGATGATACGCAAAAAGCTTGTACCACCTGATTTTTCACTGATGATTAGGGGTTGATCTTCCAAAATCTTTGCACCTGAATTAGAGAAAATCAATGATTTTATAAGTAAAAATGGTTCTCCATCTGTTCATTCATAAGAAATTGTACAATTTATATGTCAACTTATATGAACTAAACCTAAAACATGCCTAAAGTAGAAGATGCAACAAGAGATGGTAGAGTAGTATCTTGAAGCTGTTGCTGTTTCTGCTGTTGACTAAGCTGTACCGCCACTAAAGCTGCAGCTAAATTTCTATCTTCATCAGTTAAATCTTGAGACAACAGATCTTCAGAGGAATAGCTTACGGGAATGAAATCATTTCCACCCAAGTCAACAACTAGTCCATGTTGCTGTTGCAATAACTCTGTACTTAAAAGCTGGGCATTTTCAGGAACTCTATGGATCATGTATTGAGGTGAATCATTATTTTCGTCAATGACAGCATTTTCCAGGGTTTCACCATCTCTGGAAGATTTGCTAGTATCCATTCTTGGTTCTTGTATCAAAGGTATACTAAAAATTTAAAAACGCCGCCACTGGAATCGAAGATACGTTGACACGACGTTTCAAGGTCATTATTTTACCTGAAAATTCCACTTATTTTATAACTTTGTAGGAATTCTAAGTTATTGGAAAGTATCCTTCAACGTAGTTTCATTTGCTTTATCACAAATATAAGTTATTAGTTTGTCAAAAATTATTAAGATTGTCTGAAAACTAAAATATTGAAACTAAAATTGACAACAACGCACTTTAGCAGTACACAAACGCCATGCTTGAAATTGAAACTAGATGGGTGGAGTGCGTTCATCAACATACTACCTGTAGGGTATTCGAATTCCAATCGTACACGTCAAAAGAAAACTATTGATTGGGAGAGTAACCCTATTATTCGTTCAGTTATTTATTTTATTCACTCTCGAGTATTGTTGTAAGAAATTTGCTGAACGCAAATGTGATTTTGAACATTTTTCAAATCTTAACATGTCGTGGACAGAGCGATATATCCCGCGCTATGGGCATGGCAACCGATTTCTAATTTTATTTTGGGTTCACGTGGCGGTTCCCTACAGCACTGAATATGCATCCTATGCACTGGATGCTTATTGTCCCAGGAGAAAACACAAAATTTCGTTAAATGCCTATGCATAGGTTCTGGACAATTTTTATAATAGTGGACTTTCGAATAATAGGACTTTCGAAAAAGTTGTTACGAAGAAAAACGCATACGACTGGAACTCTGTGCGCAAATAGAAAATATAACCCAGAAGAATTAACAAAATTGAAGCTGAAAAAGGGAGAACATAAATGGAAAAGGTGTGGAAAAGTGAACGTATTTAAGTGGTGAGATCGTCAGTTACAACTTAATTTAAGCGTAGATCTGTTTGAACTTACTGTTTGAAAAAAATTATAAAAAACAACAAAGAAAAACAACAACAACAATTAATCAATTGGCGCTTCGGGGCGATTTTAATTACGAGTGAGTTTTATTCCAACCATAGGCTGCACAAGCAGAACCAGAACGAAAAGATTTATTTACCTCCGATACGTCATGTCCTGAAAATTCGAACACCGGAAACTCTGAAAATCGTGTGGTGGTTGCGAATCCAGAGCGATCTGAGATAAATATATTGTAGTGCAATTCGGAACGTACTTCATTGCCTATAAAAGCAAATGACATGACAGGTGACAGAAGTGTAAAAGGTTCTTGTAATTGACGCCTGCGCTTCGAATTTTAAGGTTCAGTTCTTCTTTAGCGAATAGTTTAGTGGAGCACAATGGTAATATTTTTTTTCTTGAAATTTCATCAACATCCTGTTATTATTTTGTGAATAAATAATTTGAAATACAAGATAATATCCAATTACGATTATTTTATACTTTATTTTTTTCAGTCTGCCCACAAAACATTTATTATCAAGCGGAAACTTGCCAAAAAGTTGAAACAAAATAGACCAATTCCACAATGGGTTCGAATGAGGACAGGGAACACAATCAGGTAAATTGCAAATAATTTCTTTACTGTATTGTATTCATAAAAGTTAATTTTCCCCGTAATTTTTTTGATAAAAAAGGATTGGCTGGGTTCATTGCAATAACTGGAAAAAAAGTTCAACATATTAGTTCAGAGTGAAATAATAAGTGGTGAGAAGTTGATAATACTGACTTTGGGCTCTATCCTTACTCAGCTTCGGTAAGCTTGAAGTCTCCTTGATTATTTGGATATTCTAGTAAAAAATATAGAATCTACTAGCACTTGCAGTATTATGAGAAGTGCAAAATTTGCACTCATTTCCGTTAAATGAGTAAGTTTCAAATTTTCGATTATTTTTTACTTAAACTCTGGTAAAATTATCAGGAATTATCTAGGTAGGTAACATTATTCAAATTGTTAATATAAAAAGCACAAATTAGGTAGAATTGAGTCAGTATGAAAACTGAGGAAGCTATTGTATAGCGAAACACATGTTTAGGTTTTGTAAACTTTCCAGTGAAAATCTCAAAGTGTTAGTTGAATAAGTTATGATTCTCATCAAGTATCAGCCAGTTCCATCATTAGTTAATGAATTCACCTTGAGTTAAAACATGAGTCTTACATGCCTCCAAAGTTTTTATTTAATTTGAACTGTGAAAAAAAACTGTTTTTTCGTTAATCAGCTGTCGCTCCCCTATGAACGACAACTCTCAAAAGTTGAAACTTGTGCAAGTATAGGACTAATGAGGTCTTATCAATTTGTGATTACTAACACTGGTTGGACGATAGGAAGTGGAAATCAAACGCCCGACCTTTCAGTTCGTACCACAGTTTTCGATTGAGGAGTGAGTAAGTGTGTGGTGCTAACTACCTACGTCAACCCACTGGTTATTTTTTAATATATTGCTGCAAAGTGCTACTGATTTTACAACATATTCTGCTCCAAATGATCAAGGAGAACTGCAAACTTATTAAAATTGAATCAGGACAAAGCCCTACAAGTAATATGCACAAATAATTACTCTGTTACTGATCATATCAAGTTATTGTATTATTAATGCAATGAACCATCCAATCCTTTACTTTTTATGAAATATAATTTTCATTTATTCTCTTGAAATTCATTAAAAAATACCCTTCACTTTACAGCAATTATTTCAATAAAAACAATCTCGATAAACTCTAGTTAAACTCATACTCAATTTGGAACTCTTTAGATATCAGTCTGTAGTCACTTACATTTTGGTCTAACTTCTGTTCCTTACTGATGTATTCAAAAGTATGGTAAAAGATGTATTTAATTTTTCAATTTTGTACAAACCACTGTATATCATGAATATTACTGGAATTTAATCCCAACACTAAATATGGACAGTACAGAAAATTGCAGTCAGTAACGGTTTCTCGAGGGGTATTATAGATGATATTATAAAGAAAAAAAGTTTAGGTTAAAAATGAACGAAATTGCAACTTTTAGAAAAGACTAAAACCAAGACAAATATATCAGTTCCATACCACCAATATACGAAGAACTTTGGAAAGATTTTCAAGGAACTAAGTATGAAGGTGATATTTAAAACAAGTCATACACTATAGAGCCTTTTAGGAAATCCAAATGACAAAATATAGAATTCAGAAAAGTCTGGAATTTAATAATTTAAATGTAAGGGCTGCAATATGGACAGACTGAAAGATCTATTAAAATAAAATATAAAGAACACTTAGCACACTTAACATATGAAAGATCAGAAAAATCAGCAGTCGCCAATCATATTTTGCAACAAAACCATTATTTAGACAAGTTAACAACAACAGGCATCTATCTAGATGCCTATAACAGTGTAGAAATGCTATATAGCTTGATGAAATAATATTTTATTATCAGATTTACCTGACCGTTAGATAAGCCAACATGTAAACTTAAATTAAGACGCAGGTACCTAGCAGAGGTATCTAGGGTATAAATAAGGACAATATTGTATGTAATTTAGGTTAATCTTCCTCTTGAAGATGATCTCTTGGTGATTGAAACACGTGTCGAGATGTTAAAAATAGCGGTTTGGTGTTTGAGTAAAACTCCAGTAATATTATTACTACACCAAAGGTTGCAAACAGTGCATCACAAGTACACCGTATATCAATCTATTAGTCAAACTGAAAACATTTTCTTGAATCTAGTCTTACAAATCTTGGTTTTACGATTCACTACCTCTATTCCATACTCTTCAAGCATGATTTGAAATCCTCTTTCCTTATGAAATATAATATTTTTAACAAGGAACATGTTGAGTTTGTATTGACCATCGATGGAAAAATAACTACTAGTGACATCAAATATTTATGTTATATTCACATCCAAGATTTGTAATTGAGCCAAGTTTTCAAGAATATATCAATTACTGTTTATGACCAAAAATATGCCTAGTATATAATTTAACAAATCACTTTTTTTCTTTCAGATATAACGCTAAGAGACGTCATTGGCGCAGAACCAAGCTTAAGTTGTAATAAGTTATTTCTTATGATTTATTATAATTTAATAAATAAGTAAAAACCTTCAAAACTTTGCTGGTGTATAATTTTTCTAATGCCCAAACACGAAGAGCCTCTTTTTTAATAATAGGAAATCGAGTTTTTTCCATCTAAACTTATTGGCAATTTTCACCTTCCACATTCTAAAAAGTACCGCAGAAGTTACGGCAAGATGTAGTTAATTTTGTTATTCTGAAGTATCTATAAAATTCTCGTTAAAGGCGAAGTTGTCAAATGAGAGAAGTTACTGATGAAAAGCACATTTTTTCTTTTTAAAAGATGTTTAATTTACACAGTACTTTACTGTACTATAAGTTTGCTCCTATTATATGAAGCTCCCCATAACAATGTTATTTTTGGTATGTAAAAATGACTACTGTCCCTTTTAAACATTGAATAACATAAAATTTGTAAACTGGGCGTCAATGGTAGTTGTTGAATTTTTTCCTGTTTTGGAAATTTTCAGTTTTAATATATGAAAAGTAGAAGTTCAAAATAGGAAAGTTAGACTAAGTAAAAGAAAAACTATTTCTATGGCTAGAAACACAGATTCTAGTTTGATATATGAATGATTGCTAATAGGGCAATGGGAAGTTGACGTTGTTTTTTCTATAAAATGAAATCTTTTGTAAAGCAGGGGTACTTTTTTCGGGATAATATCACTTCAGTGTTTATGCCAAAATATTTCTCAGGGGTTCAGTTCGCAGATAAATTCGGGTAACGAAAAAACAACATCTAAGGCTCTTGGTTTTGCAAACCAGAGATGCTTTATTTGAAGTTATTCAGCTTCTGAAACACGAAATTGGTTCCACACCTGAATTTGAGCAACAGATTACACAAGGGCCAAATATGTAATGCTCATGAAGAAAATCACCTAAAATGAATTGACCAAGCACCATAACTGAAAATATAGACAATTTTATTTATTTACGGCAAAGCCTATTTTTTATAAGATAAGTTCATACATAAGTATTTAACAGTAATCTAAGCTAGGTTTAAAGAAAAAATATATAAAATAAAAAAAAAATCGAATAACTAATGAATTACAATCTTTTCAGTCTTTAAATATTTCCAAAGAAGAATTAAACATTTCTAAATCTACATTGTATGTATTTGCAAGTCTCAACATTCTACCTACAGATTCATTCCGGCCATAGTTGGTGCGACAAAAGGGTACTTTGAAGATTTCCGAATTTCTTTTTCTCCTTGGATTCACATTTAAAGTTATACGTTCGACAAGTTCCGGGGAATTGATGCTACCATTGATTATTTTATGAATTAGTGTAAGATCTGATTCTAGTCTTCTATGAGCCAGAGTATTCAAGAATGTCCAATATAAATTTATAGTCATATTCACCAATATGATATTCCAGTTAATATGCAGAGTACCTTAAAATCTTATTTTGAACACTTTCAAGCATATCAATATCCACATGAAACCCCAAATTGTGGAATTGTATTCGATTATTGATCTAACAATATGATTTTTATTGAAGTGACAGATAATTCATTTGCAGATCTAAGAATGAAACCTAACATTTATAGTGCTTTAGAAGTAATATTTGCAATATGGGGTTTAAATGACATTTTTGGGTCGAGAGTGATTCCTAAATCTCTGATTGTGTTTGTTGTTTTCAGTTCAGATTGATTGGTTTTATATGGCCAGTGAATGGGATTTTTGTTTCGGAAAAAAATAAATTTGTGACATTTGTCTATATTTAATTGCAGTAGATTTATATCACACCAGCGAACAAAGTTAGATAAATCATACTGTAATAATTTTGTATCAGTTGTATCTTCAGGTCATCGGCAAACAAAAGAAATTCACTATAAAGAATAACATCTTTCAAGTAATTTATAAATAGGTTGAAAAGCAATGGCCCTAAATGAGAACCCTGTGGTACACCCGATGAAACTGATTGAGGAAGATACTGAGTTACCATATTTTCAATTTGTACTCTGCAGGCTAGATAATTTTCAATCCATTTTAGAATGTTTTCTTGAATACCCAAAGTGTTTAGTTTATGCAACAAGTTATGGTTTACTCGGTCAAATGCCTTTGAAAAATATGTGTGAATAGAATCCACCTGGTGTCTATTTTCGAAGGCGTTTATTATACAGTGTTGATAAATTAGCAGATTTGTGCTGGTAGATCTACCACTACTGAATCCATGTTGTTGATTAATGATTATAGGTATGTCTACAATTCCATGTTAGCTTTTTTGTAATTAGGCTGTCTAACAATTTGAGTAATTCTGATTGATTACCGACTGCTCGATAATTTTTTATATCATTGTGTGACCCACTTTTATAAATAGGTTTCAAAAAACTGTTTTTCCAATAATCTGGAAAGACCGACGATTTCAAGGAAATATTGAATATCATGTGAATTGGTTTTACCAGGGTAAAAATAAATTTTTTGATTACGAATAGCGGAATTCCATCAGGACCTGTAGACAATTTCCCAGGTAATGACATGACTAGATCAATGATTTCTTTAATATCAACGCTAAAACTACATATATCAACCGTCTTACTAAATTTATATTCTGGAATTTGGTTGACTGTTTCATCACTGTAGACTGATGAGAAATATTCTGCAAAAAAATTTACAATATCATTACTATTTTCGCTGACACACATAATACGTTTTAGATGGTAAGGAGTGTGATTTTTTTTTATTATTTATGTAATTCCAGAAGCTTCTAGGATTATTGTTGATGTTATTATCTATTTTATTTATGTATGCTTGATGGCAAGTAGTGTTTCTCAAAGCTTTGCACTTATCTCTCAAATAACAAAATTCTTCATATTTATAAAAATTTCCATTTTTGTATTCTCTGTGAACCGATTTCTTTTTGAAAACTAATTTTTTCAGCTCAGAATTGAACCATATTGGGAAAGTAGAAGCTTTATATTTTTTAGTGGAACATAGTACTTCAGAGCTGTATAGAGAATATGGTAAAAATTTGTAACTACAATATTTAAATCCTCATCTTTCGGTATCCTAATTTATACTTGCCAAGAAATCATTCATGCCAATATAATCTCCATTTACAAAGTCATCATATTTTAAATATTCCTTTGTATCATTTTTTAAACCAAAAGGTTCATTAATTACAAAACTAGTAATATTTGGATGATGTATTGCTTATCTGAAGTTGAAAGCATCAATAAAATGTTTTGATTCATAATTTTTGCAAATTTATAAAAACCCTCCCCGAAGTCGCGAAAATAAGCTGAGCAGCACAAACTAAGGGTAAGCAACCCTTTATAGAACAAGTTGCCACAGTAGTAGTGTACTTGTCTTTGATATCTTAGCAAAATATAACAAGTTCCAGAAATCTAAGTCGTTAGTAATCCTCACATCTGCTTTTTAACGTTTGTATTAATGACGTCATATATTCAGTAAAAGTTGTTCCTGGAATTCTCATTTCACTTTTTCCTAAATAAACCAGAAAAAAAATATCGATCGTAAACTTAATTTAACTTTATGAAATGTGTGCATATGTTTGCCCGATTTCTACTGAATGGAAAAAAATCTGTTCAACCTCAATCATCTAGTTATTATTTCACTTTCCGACACTAGAGACTAGATGTCACTACATCATTGGGGCTATTACATTTTTGTTTTGTATCAAAGTAGAAATTCTTCCACAACAATAAACTTGGTACTTTTACCTCGTTTTGTAGTACATGATGAAATTGTTTGATTGCCAGTAATTAATATTCAGTTAGAAGTATAGTTACAAATACATTTATGTTTCGTCCGTTTCAAAAAACATTAATATAATTTTTAGAACCAAGTGATGGCGATAATTTTGCCCAGGAGAGTTACAGTATCAAATTAATATAACTTAAACTCATTTGGTCTTGTGATTACTTTATTTCTCTTCTTTAAACTTCCAAGCCCCTTGAGAACCTAAAGATGTTTTCTGAAGTATAGTGGAACATATTGTAATGTCCGTTTTGGTGCTGGAGAGGAAATAGGGCAAGTGTCTTTTTCTGAAACATCCAATGTCCGCTATTGAGGATCATAGTTTTCCACGTAAGTGAAACTTTACCTTTTTCATATACTATACTGTGTAGCAATCCTTTGAATATCTGATTCAATTCCATAATGAATGTTTGGAGTACAAACCAAATAGGAAAAAAAACGTTTGCATGTTGTTTAGACACCATTCTGTTTGATTCATAATCAACGAAGATATTTATTATTATTAATTCTGGTGTACAGAAGCGTTATTTTCCAGGACAATAATGTATAACTAGAAATAAGTAACAGGTAGACAACTGAATAAAAATTTTATTAATGGAAAATTGCGGAAAATTTCACTTTGGTATATTTACAAATGTTCTGATTCAAATCGAAACTACTCCTGCAAAACGTCAATTAATTCCTTGAAATTATGAACAAACCACTTTGCTTTGGCTTGAACGGTTGGTCTGATGACGTTACCACCGTAACCTAGAAAAAAAATTATAATTCAATGCTGATGCAAGTGAAGTACTTTGTACAAATAGGTCCAATCATTGAAGAACAAAATAAGAAACTGTCACTACAAAAACAGACGATGTCAAGTATTAACCTACAATTTGGAACTCATACGTAATTTACTTCCAGCTATCACTAAATGAATCACAAATGATACTTACAAATCATTTAAAAATTTTACACATTGTGCTAATTGCTAATTTCGTGAGAACATTTGGATCTTGGTAAGAAATTATAGAATGTTAATTATGATACCCTGGTCCAGGAGATCAGTAGATAATAATTCTTGTATCAGACTCAAAACTATTATATTGAACTTTTGATTTATTTTTATTAACCGGTGTAGAGGCATGAAATAGATGCTAAGTAAGCATCCTCTAAACTCCAAACTTTTAAAGTTGAATCTATTTATCATCAACTTTTACCATACCCAAGCATTATGAGAGCCTAAGATGTGAATAAAACAAGTAAATGGGACACATTCTATGTATAAGTAATCTTATCTCTGCTATACGATCCATGATATATTGTTAGAATAGGAATATGATCCTTCAAAGATAACTTTCAGAAGACAGGCATTAAGTTGCCTAACTGAAACTATCACTGGAGGAATCATATTGAACAAAATGTAAAAAAATATTGAACAAAATGTACAAATGTGAAAATGTATTTCCAGTTACCTGAATCGAATAAATTGAATTGAATTGAAAAAAAAATGCTATGGATATGTAGTCAATTTTGAAACCTAAATACTTGAGAAAATATTTTTCAATGAACTAACTTGTAAGAAAACAGTTTTATTCAGATTATAGTTATGGATTTTTATGAAGTACTGGAAAATTCCATCAAATATTTGAACAAAGAACAATAGTGATTCAACCTTCCTTTATCCAAAGAAAAATCGTGATATATGCATGTTGCCTAGAAAAACCAAACATACACATTTTCGAATTTAATTCCCTAACAAATCAAAGCTGTTTCAAAACATTAAGACTAGTATCATAATCTACAAAGTACAGTAATCATTTCCACTGATGGAAAAGGCAGAGGGAATATGATCCAAAATTGAAATAAATTTTGCCATAATGCCATCTAAACCTCCTTTCAAAATTTGTAAAATATAAAAAAAAAAGTTGAAAGGTCCTAATTGATTTGAATCGATTTTGCAAAACTAATTAAATTTGCTATAATACAAAGCATACCTATAAATGCATCAGCAGGAGGACAAGCTTCAAGATCTGTGGCCCCGTCTCCAATCATGACAATATTTTTACAGTTGTACTTATTTTTTATGAGATCTATCACCACACCCTTTCCACCACTTTTTGAAGTAGGCTCATTTTCATCAAAACCTGCATATTCACCTGAAATATAGAAATCATTGATTTTTCTAAATTCATCAGGTGAAACAGAGGAGATTCACATGTATATTTTGGAAAATTAGAAACTTTACTGAAGAGGCAAATAAAAATATGTGACAAATAGAAAGAGAGATAAATATATTTCATGGTCAAATTTTTTATTGAACTGTTACTGTATCTTTGAAAATATACTCCTCCCTGTTATGTGATCTTTATGAATAATTCACACGACTTGATATTTCAAACTATCAAAAAAATATCTTTGTATGTCATTTTTTGAATGACACATAAGTGAAAGATCGTCAATCAAGGGATCATTTGCCTTTAACAGACCTACGAAAAGTGAATGTTTGTTTTTGGAAGCATTAAGAATTTTTCAGTGAGCTTGTGAAGCTTCTTTACCTGTAAAATAAAATTTGAGCCTATTTGCATAGATTTTTTCACTTGGAATGTTCAACTGCTTAGCGATTGGTTCAATCAAGCTTGTAAAACCCCCAGACACCAAAAATACTAGTACTTTACGGTTGTGTAGTACTTCCACCAACTTCCTGAAAAATAATTCAGCATCAAGCCAAAATGTTGATTCTTGTGCATAAATGATTTTTGAGAAAGATTATTTCCCTTGCTAGGGATAACGTATCTATGAATCGCACATTAAAAGGTGAGAACTCTTTATTCCTCTGCTCAAACAAATCTCCAGAAGTGTTCAGAGAGGACAATAAATAATCAGATGTTGCCACTCCACGAAAGGCAACCCTCATAAGTCTAGTGCGAGCTAAGGATTGACGAGGTCTTGCTTTTAAACGTGCGATTCCTAGCACGGGTTGGACGACAGGCACTGAAAATCGATCCACTGGCTTCTGGGCTCGAACCGTCAGCTCTCACAGTGATCGATTGACTGAGTGGAACAAACCACTTACACCAACCCAACTGAATATGGTCCTGCCAGCAGGCAAGCTGCTGTTTCAGCCTGTTGGACATCATCAGTATGTACATGAGTATATATAGATAGATAAGTGTATTTCAACACATTAACTACAAAAGGTACACATTTAGAAGTCATAAGGAAAGAAATTTTTCAGGATTTTACATATTTATAAGTATTTCAGGTCTACTAAATACTCACTCTTTCTCTGTATATATATTTTACATTGAAATTAACAAGCAAATGAGAAATTAGACTTCTTGAGGGTATATGCAATCGATATACCTGATCAATGTGGACATTAATTTTAATTCAAACTAGTATGTAGTGATGGTAACACCAACTTATATAAATCAATAAAAATCACCTGATTCCAGGAGTTAAAGTTGGAGGTTTTGTGGATATAAATTCCTTGACTTGATTCAAACTTGGATTTATTATATTCAACCGTAAATTTAAGGCATCTTGGAATGTCATGTTCCCCGTCATTGCTCTGGCTGTTCTGAAAAAAAGTCATGATCTTAAAATAATTGAATTGTCAAAAGAGACTTCTGAAAAATCAAAAATTTGTCTCATAACTGTATCTAAACAATCCTATATGAAAGCTGCTTACATTTCTGACACCTGCTTTCCTTTATTGCAAAACTTTGCAAGTTCATCTATTCCTTCCTCCTGGATAACGGTAGAGTCTACGTCAAAACATACAGCATCAGCCCTTTTCAAAATACCTTGAACTTCTTCCATTTTATATTCAAGTGTAACTCCTGAAAATCAAATTTCAATTCACGTTTTCAGTTCAAGCTTCATTACTCATAAGTTACTATTACACTGAAGAGTACATATGCTTCATGAAACAATACAGGACAAATATGAAAACATTACATTCATATCCGAGTGATTTTTGTCCCTTGGATGACTTGATAGTAAGGATACTTCATTCATACAATGAGGCCAAAATTTCTACTGGAATCTAGTCTATATGTTACAGAAACGCATGTTTTAACCATGTCTTGTCGTTAATTTGATAAATAATCCATGTGCTACTCACCAACACCAATTCGTTCACCGAACTTTTCTAATGCATTTCATATGCTAGAAATTTCCATCGTCAAGTTCAAATCATTATTTATTATTTGAAAGTCACCCTATGACCCTGACACTTAAGTTATCATATTTTATAGATAACATAACACGCACAGACACTTTCAAACATTAGTTTAACTGATTTAATTATTGAACTAGTATCAAACTTTAAAACCACATGTATCCCACGAGTTGGGTTGACAGGTTGTCAGTTTTTTTGATGTCGCGATGTCAGACAAAACTGCCACAAGTATTTGCGATCCCGCTGTTATTCGGGCACAGTATAACCACATTTCCGATATTCTGTGATATAACTAAAAAGCATTCTACTGACTTAAATGAAATGAATAAAACAATTTTGTCTAAATACCACTGGTAGATTTTGGTTTCGGGTTCAACCCCATTATCAAGTATAGAACATCTACTGAGATTTCGGGTTTCTTCGTTTGTACTTTGTATTTTCATTGGTAGCTATTAAAAAAAAATACTGAAAGTCACAGGTGCACAGAATACTTATTCTGCTATGGAAGTGTAATATAGAGTAGACATTGAAAAGTGTTTGGGAATTGAGACTTAAACTTTGAGTGATAAATAGAATTGAATACTTTTATTCTCTATTAAATATTCGTCATTCTTCAATTTCTTCATTAAAAACAAACTTCGAAAATAAGAAATTTTGCAAGTTATTGAACATGAAACTATGTACAATAGACCTCATCTGAGTATGGCCTATGTGTATTTTTGTCCATGTTGTCTGCTCTGTGTATTTGTCATTAGCGTCATTTGTCATTGTGGCCACATTTGGATTTAACAACGTTCGTTACCAACTGGCCGGATAACCTTAGTTGCTGAGGCCATTGAATCGAAAAGAAGAAGAAGAAGAAGATACTGTCAATAATTTTTTTTTATTTTATTCAGAAAACACATATATACGATATTTACGGGCTTTGTGGTTTCATTCACTGTTTAAAAAGAGTTGACAATGTTTTCACATCGATAAATTATTAGTATCATTCGACTAATGTAGTTAACGTATATATCTAGGAGATCCGAGGTTTATGTTGGTATCATACTATTATTTCATTTAGTTTTCTCAATATAAGGCGTGGATAGTTGACTTCAAACGGACACTAATGACAAATTCACAGAATCGCCAACTAAGAAAAAAATAAATGTTCCACAAAAAAATTCTTCTACGGTTAGTTCTATAGACCTGTTTTATTCACTTAACTTTCAGATCTGTCATTCCCGCCAAAAGTTATTTGCTCTTTCTCTCTGGTCGATCAAAATACAACAAGGAAGGGTAGCGAGTAACTTCTGGTTGAAATAACTCAATGTGACAACAAAACATAACTATTAATGGCAAATAAACAGAATAGCTAAGCCAAAAAAATCATGTTCTTCATCCGATACAGTCTTTTAATAATGAGAAAAAATATGAATGGTTTTCAACAATCAATTTGGAAATTTTTGCACGAGTCGATTCTGGAAACTTGGCTATGTAACCACTTTGAACCGTCCTAGAATCGTCCGAACTGCGAACCCGAATACGCCTTCTGAATTTTGGGCCGGACGGACTGAAACATTTTTTTGAACTTTATTAAAATTTTTTTGTTACGTGATCCTTATAAATTTTTCATGGAATAAGTAACTGTCCATAATTATAATAAAGTTATTAATAAATCTATGTTCGAATAAGGCAGAGTTAAATTTTCAAGTATAGATCTTTAAAAATAGTCCCTAGTTTTAATATTCTGTACTTAAATTTTCAGAATAACACAAATGTAGTAGTGATCCATAGGCTCTGTCATTGTCATTCACTGAAATTGACATATGGAGGAAGATCGTTGTTTGGTTGTGAAATATATTCCTTACCTTAGGAAAAATATTCCTATAGCTTATTATACCTATTATACCTTTGTTCCTAGGTAATTGGAAAAAAGACATCATTCTAAGCAAAAATGCAATCAAAATTTAAGGAGAAAGGAAAAAAACGTGGGTGGAATTAAATGTGCATTCAATATTTAACAATACCTAGGAACTATGGAATATATTTCAATTCAGAGTTGAAAATTTAGCTTTGCTTTAATCAAATATCAATATCGAAGAACATTTTTGCACTTAACTGTACTTTTAGGAAGCTTATTATTTTTTGGCTGAAAGAATAACTCGTAAGGATCATGTACAAAAAATCTGAAAAGCTACTTTCAAAAAATTCAAGATGGTTTACCCAAAAATTCTCATAGAAATAATGAAAAACTGGTATGTTAAATGCTACAAAAAAACGCTCAATATGTATAAAGGTAACTCTGATAATACTTGAGATGTCCTATCTGAATACAGCTTTGGGCCACCTTTAATTCGTCCTGCCAATCGTTGACCTCCAAGTAGTTATTGAAAACTCACACAAAAATGCAACTTGTAACTGCAACTTTTTTCCAATTACCTAGGAACAAAGGTATAATAAGCTATAGGAAAAATAAGTTTGGTAAGGAATATATTTCACAACCAAATAACAGTTTTAATATGGATTTTCATCAAGTATCGGCCAGTTCTATTCAATTATGCAACTTGTAACTTGAATTTACATTAGAAATGTTGAATTATCAGAAAGATCACTTATGACAATTAGTGGATACATTTCTTTCAACAATCTAGAGTCGACTCTCTTATGAGTGATCCGTATGACTTTAAACCAAGAAAATATGTCTTTCCAGTTAAGGTTGGAGCAGGTCTTCACGTTGCAATTTCAAATGTTTCAGCAATGCTCATTATTTTCAGAGCTACATTAAAAACAATCAGCACTGCAAATACATTTCCATGAAGGTATGGAATTTTATTTGTGGTTGTACCATAATCTAGGGCAAATTTATTATTTTCAATTATGTGCATAGGCACCATTTTCAATAATGAGGTAATCCAGAAATACAGGAGAGGTGAGTATACAAGGAGATTATCACTGCCAAAAATGTTTTCAGAATGTGCAAAAAGGGATTTGTTTCTTATTACAGCCCTGAAAATGGTGATGAGTATAGCGAAACGTTGGCAATCAAATTGAGAAGAGAGTACTTGTTTTATGTCCAATTGGCAGTAAATATATAACTTGATAAAAAAAACCAATTGCTTTTCAATGTGTTTCATCAATATTTCAAAAAATGATGAACACAAAATCATCCAGTCTTGAATAGGCTGACATTCACAATAATAAAGCAGTATCAATTTCCGTTTTTGCAATTAGGTGAAATTATACCTTATTTGTTGCACCAAAATAATCACACCGAGTTTCATCATAAATATAATTTCACTTGTCAATTCTTAAAAGCTAGTCAACCTTAACATAATAAACAATGTTCCTAAACTAACACTTTTTCAGCCATTGTGGAGTTTCAAAAAATTCTGGGAAATCTGTTTGTCAGGATGTTCTTTTTAATGTTTTTCGAATAATGGTCCAATCTTCTATTATATCTTGGGGCTTCAACATATACACAATATAAGGTCCTGACACAGTTACAGCTTTTCTTCTAGAACGCGATCGAGATCTTGAACACCATTCTCCACCTTCTCCCCAGCTGATTTCACTGTTATGTCTGTCTTCTTCCAATCGCCTTATAGTATCCATCAGTTCACTATAGTAATAATCACAAGCCAATGATTTTTCACTTTCAAAATTTTGTAAAGCAGCCTGCTCTTCGGCTGCATATTGGTTGGCAATATTTTCCAATCTCATTTGTCTCAGAATACCAGCAACTTCAGTACGAACTCGCATATTCTCCTGCAGTTCTGATAAGGCTACCAAGTATTCTGGGGACTTTCCAGTTTTTACCTCAGCAAGTTGAAGTTCAACCTACGGAAGTTCAGAGTCAATCTCTTTCCAATGCTTAATTTCTGCAAATGGTAAATATTCATTTCAACTGCTCGCACTACTTTTTCAAAAATTTTCAATAAAAGCTGGGTATTTTTGTTTGCTGATAAAAACAAAAATTGGGGTCCCCTCTACTTACGGAGATATAAAAACTTAAAGGCAAGTGGAGTCTCTTTTTAATCTGATATCATTAGTCAAAAGACATAAGTTCACCTATAGTAGTTATTGTAGAGCAATCTCTTCCAGAAAGCTCAATAACAGATTATTTGAATCTAATTACCTAATCTACAAGTAATGACTTCAAAGGTGTAATTCTGGAAAAATACAATTTTGAGGTATGGAAACAGTAGAAGTGGCACATAAGTAAGTTCCTAAAATATGGCCATATATTCGAAAGTAGATAGGCAGCGACAAGTTTTGACTTGAAATATGTGATTGCAGTACAAATATGTCTAATTAACTATTTTGCATAAACTAGTGCAAGCTATTACAATATTTACCCTGCCTACCTCACCTGACTCATTCGTTCTCTATAGAGTTGCTCACGAAGAAGTCCAAATTGAGATTCTAAATCCTGAACATGCTGCAATAAGGAGTTTCTTCTACTTTCGCATTCACTTTCATCCATTTCAGAACTGTCATCTGAATCTGGTTCGTCTTCAGTGGATTCGTGGGCACCATCATTTTCACGGCTTGAATTTGACCGCTCAGATTCATTGCCAGACATTTCATTGTCACTAACATCTACTGCGGAACTTGATAACTTGATTGGCGGCATCTTGCAAAGTCAGGAATATACAAAAGTAGAGATTTCACATCGAAAATTTACATGGGATGGTCTTATATTTAGAACCTAAAATCAAAGTTCTATGTATAGGTAATGGTTTGGAATATTCACAATAAACCAAGTTTTCTTGAATTCCACAGTTCCCTGAGAAGATATTTTGTGGTTTCTGTTTACTATTTCTATACGTCAATTTTCTTTGGTTAGTTCATCTCTTACATTGTTGCCAATCATAACATATTCCATTAGGTGTCAGTGGCGCCAACAAAAAAAATGTGAACCACCTGCGACAGGTGTGTTCAACAAATGGTGACATCAAACGGTAAATTTGTGAAACGGTTTTGTTCAGGTACAGCTATAGGCTCAATAATGATTATTGAAAATAATATACTTCAAGATATTGTCAATTGATTGAGAAACACAACTTGAAAATCGCAGACGAGTGCAACACGTGATGATCCATTTCAATTTTGATAAAATCGATTGGTGAAATTTATATATTCATAATTAGATTCTGATTGGTATTCTCGATTGCCGTTTGAGATCTTCAGCGTTAAAGTGAAACTGAAAACAATGTTAAAGTGATTGTATTCCTGAGCGCAGTTCAAGATGCTTAGATACCCTGATTTTTCTTACGATTCCCTTTTGGTTTGTTAAAAACTCTCGTCGCGAGAAATGAGATTGACCCAACTTATTACATATGTTGATAGATGGTGAAAGAATCGAAATCTGTCACATGGGTTCCTTTCAAATATCCAATTTATAGACAAATCATAAAAGAATATTTCACCTAATATCAGTATATTCCTAAATGTAAACAACATTGAAAATTAAAGTGCCAACTTGGCATTATCGAGTAATGCCAATTGAGGTGTGTATCCACTTCCTCTGTGAATTGAATATTGAAATAAAAACGCATAGATAAAACAACCAGGGTTTCCATGTACATAAATATCTTGGGTACTAATAAATATGAAAATTGGTTATGTTCACTGTTTTGGGCTTTTCTGTGTTCTGAGAGTAATGTTTTTTTATGCAATTTTTAGAGATATTACAATCTGATGAACAGGTGAAATGAATTTAATTAGCCAATGGAAAGCATAAAAACCACTTTGATTTGTAAAAACAGCTTACCGAGGACTTGCTTTTGTTTTACTTTTCTTCTTAGTTCTATTGTCACATGTCACATGTCATTCGTGATTCTTTCACAAATCACAGTTTTCTGTTTTCTGCAACATTCAGAAGGTATAATATATAGTTTTCTGTATTTTTGAAGGAAAAGAGGAAGATGTCAACAAACTGAATCGAAAAACGAAAGTGTCAAAACCACTCAAAACTGTCATGTGAAACAAATGTCCACAATTTCCGAAATTAAATGGAAAGTAATAAATATAACTGATTAAAAACCGAATGATTTACTTTTTGGATAAACTATTTCTTAAAAACATATGTTTCACAATGACATGATTAGATACTTATTTTTTTATGAGCCATTACACAACCTGATACCATTAAGAAAATTATCTTGAAAACATGTAAAGGTATAGTGCAAAGCAAACATAGATTGTTGACATAATCCCCGTAATGTTTAATTTAGATTTTAAACATGTTCTCAAAGTACACCACTGCTACTGTATGTGTATATTACAGCTTGTTTATAAAATCAAAAAGTATGAAGTTCACTAGAACTTATGGATACAGGTAATCTATAACAAAGTTGTTTATTACATATTTTCAAAGAAGTCATTTAATCTATCTTTCTTCCTTTAGAACTTGCATGATAGGGAACTAAAATGTCCTAGGATATCTTACTTGGCAATCAATGATTCAGTTTGCAAGTATAACGATGGGAAAAGAAAAGGGCAACTCCTCTCATGTCAAATCAGAAATTCAAGATGATAATCCTTCTGATTTGGTGGATGATGAAAACACCCAGTTTTCTCTAGATCCAAAGCTGCAAATGTATCTTGCACAGATGTCACAGGAATCAGGATGCTGGGGAAAGTTCTTTCCGATACCTTTTGAGAGGGCTGCACATAAGTCATGGTGGGATCCGACATTTGACTCGGAAATACTTGAAGAGCAATACAGGAAGAGCTCCAATACCAGAAACAAAATCAAATTCAGGTAAATTGCTTGATCTAATTGCTATCATAAATATGTGAAAAACTTGGATATGACTGAATTAAATACAGAAGTGCAGTGAATTAAATCTGATTAGAATTTATAAATCAACTAGTTCCAACATTATCAAGGTTACAAAATTATTCAGAGATCAGGCTACATAATTTGTTAAAATTGAGGGTAGCTACAGCTCTACACAATGTATTACTTGCAGTAATACAATATCAAATTTGAAACTGAAGGAATATTTGTGTTATTGCTTGTTACTGCATTGTTTTGTCAAAATAAGCTCAAACACTAATGATCTAATGATATGGTTAGTGTTGCATAGTTTTGTTGATAGATGGTGTATAAATCAAATTCTGTAATTAATGTTTCAATGTTTATTCTGATATTTCTATGGTAGTTTCTTATATTGGTATGAGGCGTTTTCTGGCGCTCATGTATTCAAAACAGATTCGTTTGTGATTCAAATACATTCATTTTGGCGGTGAAATGATGACTTCACATCCACTATGATTTGAAAAGTATTCATGGTGATTCAAAACTAGCGGTGAGGTTAGTTTTAAAACGGAATTTGACGTTACGATACGTCAGTTTCTGCTTTATTTTGATCGTTATAGTTTATAAGGTGCCGAAAACATTTTATCGAATACGTTGTAAGGATGTACAAAATAAAGCTGTATGCAAAAATCTGATTCTAATTGAGGTTGGAGAAAATTGAAGAGTTTGTTTTTATTATTGAATTTGACATCTGACAAATTGAATCATTCCATTCTGGCGAATCTTATTATTAATGACGTAACTACGCATCATTTTTGAATACACGCTCGAATAAGATTCAACGAGAGAAAACACCTATAATAGATTTTCTAGAAGATAATTTTTGATTAAACAATTTGTGAGCTGCCAGTTAAACTGAGGTTTCAAAAACTATGCTAGTCTTTTTTTTGAAAACCCATAAAATGATATATTAAAAAAGAAAAATCTAATCTAAAGCTACTAAAACTGGTCCATGTTTACTATCAATATTTTGAACAATTTCATCAGTAAATTAGTTCAACTAAGCAGACTATGTTTCACATATTCAGTTTTGTAAATCAGAGGAGTCCATTGTCGCTCAACATGTTTTATAGAAAGGCCCCAAAATAAATTAGGAATGCTTTTAATTGTTGAGACCTGTACATGACAACAGTCTTTTAGACACCTTTGAAAGTTCAGAAATTGAAACGTTTTGAAAGAAATTCATGAACATCAACAAAAATCCAATTCCAGATAGCCCGTTATTTACTTTTTTACTTTATGATTACAAGTATAAATCAGGACAATATTAGATATCATATGAAGTAGTCATTAACATATCAATTAGGATACAACAACAAACTGATTCTAGGAACTCATTTAATGGAATTCATTACAGAAAATAATGATTTGTCCAGATGAATATGAAAGACACTACTTTGTTGAAATGAGGAAAAATACCTTTGGCATTTTTTTAATGCACTTCCCCAACTGATATTATTGGTGTGTCAACTCCTTTTCAATAGGGATACCTAAGAATACATTGGAATTTTGCATGTTCAGAGTGATATTCACAGAATTTTAATCTAAAGTGAAGTGATTTGCCCTTTTTCTGAATTCTTCTGTATTGTTCTTATTGAACAAGTTCTCGAAATAGTATTTCTTGCTAATGGTCGAAAGGGTTACATTACTTCATATTCAAAGTTCGTTGATTAAAGAAAAGATGATGAAATTATTATCAAGATTGATTACCAATAATAATAGTGAAAGATGTCATATTTGAGGCCTATTTTTTTTCAGGCATGCTTTATTGTACCTGATAGTAATCTCAACAACATGGCTAGTCTATTTCTTCATTGCTGGCCTTCTGGGAGATAAACGCCATTGGCCTATAGTGTGTGGACTTCTGCTAGTACTGATCATCTGCCTGGTGGGATTTCATCTCTTCACCTACACACTTGTATACGATCGAAACATAATCTTTTTGACATTGGCCATGTCTATTTTGCTAGCAGTACTGAGCCTACTATTTTTAATCATAACTCAACCACCTCCGATCGGAAATTTCTCGCTCTGCATCCAACTGCTCTTCCTCATATACACCCTGGTACCGTTAAAACTGTATGTCAGCCTAATGTTGGGTATTTGTTACTCGCTTGCTTTCGAATCAATCGTTTATTATCTCCAACAAGACGAGAGTAATGCTGTGCCGGCGTGTGCCATGAGGTTGCTATGCCATTTGGGTATACATCTCATGGGGTTCCACATAGGTTTAATGAACATCGTTCGAATGAGAAACACATTTATGAAGGTTGGACAGAGTTTGCTGGTACGTCGACAACTGGAACTAGAGAAGAAGTTGAAGGAGAACATGATTCATTCGTTGATGCCCAAGAGCGTCGCTGATTGGCTGAAGAAAGAAGATGAAATTCTTATGAGGAGGCAGTCGTCCGATTCTACTAACGATATTAGGTCGATTTTTCGTCCGTTCAATATGGATCATATGGAAAACGTCAGCATTTTATTCGCCGATATCGTGGGTTTCACAAAGATGTCCAGCAATAAAAGTGCTGAGGAATTGGTCGACATTCTCAATAGCTTGTTTCAGCGGTTTGATTCGTTATGTAAGGTAAGGTTATTTTTATTTATGATCCTCTGCTTCAATAAAATTATAGTAAGGGTTTAGTAAATATCAAATTTTAATTATTAATTCCGTGTTAGGAATCACACGTTAAAAGGTAAGACCTCGTTAGTCCTTAGCTCGCACAAGTTTCTTAACTTCTGAGAGTTGTCGTTCGTATGGGGGCGGCAGCTGATTAACGGAAAAACAGATTTTAAAACAGATTTTAAACAGAATTAAATAACACTATTGTTATCTGAGAAATAGTAAGACTTACATTGTTGGTTAAATTAGACGAAAATCGCCTGTTTGGGGATACAATAAAAATATTTTTCCAGATTGAGACTATCAATAGCTGTTTTCAAATATTCGCAGAAAACTAAAATTTATGGTTTTTTATTATCGGCTGCATTACTCCCACGTAACTGTTTCATGTTTGTTATGATCAGGTATGATCTAATTTTCAATTCGACATTTCATTCATTAGATTCCATATTCAACTTTTTTTTTATACAGACAATTAGTTTTTTCACCAATTTTAGTAGCCACTATAATAACAATTTCAATCATGTTTCACAACACATGTATTTTTCTACTTTTTTTCTTCGATATATATATATATATATATATATATATATCATCATATATATCATATCAACTTATATTAATGGCACCAAATTGTGGAGTTGTGTTCGATTAGTGATGTAACAATTGAGCAATATATGATTTTTAAGGAAGAGAGAAATAATTCCTCTGCAGATCTAAGAGTGAAACCTAACATTTTTAGTGCTCTAGAAGTAACATTTGCAATATGGGTTATGAATGACATTTTTGGGTCAAGAGTGATTCCTAAGTCTTTGATTGTATTTGTTTCCAGTTCTGATTGCTTGATTTTATATGGACTATTTTAGGATTTTTGTTATGGAAAAAAGTACATTTATTATATTCGTCTATATTCAATTGAAATAAGTTTATATCACACCAGCATACAAAGTTAGATAAATCTGTATAAATAGAATCAATCTGGTGTCTGTTTTCAAAGGCATTTATTATGAAGTGTTGATAAATGAGCAAATTTGTACTGGTAGATCTACCACGACTGAACCCATGTTGCTGATTTATGATTATATGTATTCAATCCCATGATAGCTTTTTTGTTATTAGACTATTTAGAGTTAATGTACATCTTTGGGTTCTAAATACGAAGAATATTGGACTCTACTTTTTTAAGACAACTCTAAAGAGAAATTGAATGACCTGACTCTGATGATTTGCTGAAATGTTGCATTAAAAGTCGGTTCATACCAGATCATAACAAACATGAAACAATACAGTTCATGTGCATCATTTTCATATTTTTTGAAATGGAAGTATTAGAGCCAACAAGCTAATCCATAATATTTTTATTGTTTCTTCAAGTAATCAACTTTTGTGTAATTAAACCAACCTTGAAAGTGCCATTCCCCAGATATCAATAGTGAGAAGGATATCTATAAGAAACAGTCAGTGTATTCCTACAACTTACATATGAATGAGTGGTTTGAGAATCTTACAGATTCAATTTACTACTGCTCAAATGCCTTTCGCCTTATTAGTTTACTTCGCACTGCACTTTCCGAATTAGACTAGACTAGTAATGCTTATAATATATCTCGATGGAAGTCTTCGAAAGCTGGTGGAAGATTCTTCGAAGCGACACAGCTTTCATAAAGGCCGAGAGAAAGATAAAAGTGGCGCTGAGCTTTGCGCTGAAATGTTGCATATACGTTTATGTTGGATGACAATGCATGGTTACCTAAGTGAAGCTATTCTGCATTCAACATGGCGGACCTCCCAAAATGGCAGACTAGTTTTTTATGCACCCCCATGATATAGGTATTGAATGAAGGGATTTGCTGAAATAAATTCAAAAAATAACATAACGTCACTCTTAATCCAATATATCAGATCGGCAAATATTGCGGACTAGTTTTCTTATGCATCCCCATGATATGGATATCAAACAAAAGGATTTTTCTGAAAACAATAGAGAAAATAAAATGACATCACTCTAAATCCATTATGACGGACTAAGAAAGGTGTGGTAGACTATGTTTTTATGCACCCCTTTGTCGGAAAACGAGATTGCCGCCAAACCAATTTAAAATGTTGTAAATAATTTGAAGAGACGTTTCCAAAGAACTTCAAGATTAAGCAAATCATTTCGATTCACAGCTCACCATATGCGGATACCATAATTCAATAGGGATTGTATTAGAAGGAAATGAGTATTTTAACATGTTTAACATTAAGAAATGTTTTCAAATTGTAGAGTTTCGGTTCAAGCACTTGTCTCATCACCCCATCAGCACTGTTTTGGATAACATCACAAGATGAAATACTCATTTATTCCATAACAATACGACTTTATATAACCGGAAGAGACATCTGCTTTTTTATCAAACTTTTTTGTGTATTTGTTACCTTCCTCAATCTGAAAAATATAAAAATTATAATGGAGAACTTTATATAAGTGTAGAAGGGCAAACTTTTTAGTTCATCCCGATAAGTTTTCCTTTTTGATTATTTATTTATTTACTTCTTCGACGTATGCCAAAGGAGTTTTGAAATATGATATTATGTCAATGTTTTTGATTGACAACTGAAACATTCGATGTAATACAAGGTGCTCTCAGATATCAGTCTGTTGCCATTTTGCCACTATCCAAATTTTTCTTCAAGATGGGTAGCCAAGTACGGTCTATTTCTAAGGAGCTATTCGAAATACAAGTATCTTCAGATATGAGAATATATGCTGATTCTTTTAGCTTACGTCTCTTTGTACTATGTATTTTATTGTCTAAGAGGAAAGACTCTTGTTGACAAAGCATGGTTTACATGTACAATACAATAGTATATGCCTATTAATTTGTCAGTGATTTGTATAAAATGGTTAAAATTTGCAGATATAAACAATAGATAATACATATATCTTTGGTCTAGTTGTAAAAAGAACAAAACATAAAAATAAAAATATATAAAAAAATTTTTCATCTTTCGATGAAATCACACATAAATGTAGAATACAGATAATTTAATCTTATAGATAAAATGCAAAAAGCTACAGTTAGCCCAAGATACTCTCACTATAATACTCCTGCAGGCTGTAGTATCCTTTAGTTAAAAATATGCTTTTGACGGTTTTCCGAAAGATTCTCGGGCATGATATATTTTTTACTTGGCTCGGCAGATGATTGAAGAGTTTTATACTCTCAAATATGAGAGAGTGTTTGGTTAATGTAGCGTTTTTGGTAGCGGTAGGGGTAAGTTGTCTTTTTGGCGAGTATTATATGGTCTTACAATTGTCATATTGAATTTTTTCTTATGCATCAAGCACACTATCTCAAGGATAAAAATACTGTATAGGGTCAGAATTCCATGTTTTATAAAAAAGTGGTTTACAGTGATCCCTGGACTTAGAGCTTTTGATAAATATCTGAGAGCTCTTTTTTGTAAGACAAATACTGAGCTCATTAGCTGATAACAGCAAAAACCTCAGAACGAAATGCCATACATTAAGTGTGATTCAATGAGAGAAAAGTAAGCCATTCTGCCTGCCTTTGTTCCGAGTTCCGTAGTGATAACTCTGATTGCATAACAGCCCGAGGCTAGGTTTTTGTTTATGGTCCTTACATGGTCATCAAATCATAATTTATCATCAATGTATATATCTAAGAATTTTATGCTGGTATTTTTATTTATGATTTGTTCATTCAAGGTCAGACTTTCATAATTGAACTTGAAGGTCAGGATTTTGGTTTTATTTCCGTTGAAGCAAAGATAGTTTGAGTCACACCAGGCTTTAACTTTCTGTAAATCTAGAAAGATACGCTCTTTCAGAATTTCTATATCACTTCCATGCCATAGTATGGTGGTATCGTCTGCAAACATGGTAAAGGTTCCATGTATATCAATCTTACTAAGGTCATTAATGTAAATAAGGAAAAGAATTGGACCAAGACCGGATCCTTGGGGAACTTCCCAGTTTATTTTTGAGATATCAGAAACAATTCGGCAATTTGACAATCTGATTTCGGTTCGAAAGATAGCTTGCAAACCAGTCGAGTGTCACTCCTCTGATTCTATAGCAATATAATTTTTTGACCAGTACTCTGTGATTAACACACACACTTAGAGTGAGGCTCATTGGTAATCATTCTTGTCCTATTCCATTCCACTAGATGTTCACCGTCTGATTTTAAAATGTGTTCTGACAATTTAGATCCTGTCATTTGTCTATTTTTTATGTAATCTCGATGTTCATTCTCACGCACTTTCAATGGTCTCGAGGTTTCACCAATGTAACTTTTACCACAAGAACAAGGTATTTCATAAATACAATTTTTTGTTTTTTCTTCAGTGTTGTTGGGTTTTGTATGTGTGAGTATAGATTATAATTTTTATATTTTTCAGATTGTGGAAGGTAACAAATACCAAAAAAGGTCGATAAAAAACTGATTTCTCCTCCATAAAAAAATGAGTTTCGTTGAATACAAATCTGCTATTGTAATGATGACACTTCTTATTATAGTTATTATCTTTCTTCCTATATATGGACGTTTCCCACATGTTTTCTTTAATGTTGGAGAAGTAGCCAAAAAGCCAAAAAGCACTTTCTCATCATTGAAAAATCCTGTTACAGATTGGAAACGTTTACTAGTTCAAAATATTACCATGATTCTCAAAACATAAAAGCCCTGTTTGAGACTGAATTTTTCTAGGTGCATAACTGCGAAAAAATATCCACTTTAGGCGATTGTTATTATTGTGTTAGCGGATGTCCGGAAGCCAGAGCTGACCATGCTCAGTGCACAGTCGAAATGGGGCTCAGCATGATAAAAGCTATCAAACAATTCGACGAAGAAAGAAAGGAAGGAGTCAATATGCGAGTGGGAATTCACACGGGTACGATTCTCTGCGGTATCGTCGGGACCAGGAGGTTCAAATTCGATGTGTGGAGCAATGATGTCACTTTGGCTAACAAGATGGAGTCAACCGGCAGGCCTGGGATGGTCCACGTTTCTGAAAAAACTGTTAATTTCCTCCAGGATATGTATTTGTTGGAAGATGGTGAGGATGTTATGGGTGAGTACGAATCAATGGATAAACCTATATCAAAATGGGTCACTCGTGATGCGCTTTCAGTCAATATCAGGATCAGGAACTTTTGTTGTATATTAGATGCAGCGTAAGACTGATATTTCATGGACAGGTCTGTATATGCAGACCTGTCCATGCGCACTGAATATTCTTGGTTTACCAGCTCTGTAGTTGCAAATGTAATCACTTGATAATTTTGTCAGAAATATTTGAATTTTTATAAAATGTAAGAACAATATTCAAGAAACATGGCGATAAGATCCAATATTAGTCATCTCTCATTTCAGTGCAAAATAGTGCTATTGCCCAATAAAATGATGAGATCAAACTTCACAAAAATTATAGATAGATAATTTGTTCTCATTCTCATGTTGAAACAATACAGCCCCGTTAAACTGTCATGTTTTTCAAATTATGTATTTTTGAGACACTGTACACATTGACGTCATGTTTTTTTTTCAAATGATGAGACACCCTGTAAACCCCGACGGTAGCCATGTTTTTCCTTTTACGTTGGCAGCCATGTTTTTTCTTCAACACTGCACTGAATGCTCTTGGATATAGAGCTGAGTGCAGGAAAGCTCTTGAAAACCTCAATATATTGGTACTGCCTTCTTCAGACGTATAACAAATCCTAATATTCGATCATAAACTCAGATTTTCCTTTATCATGTACTGCAATCTGCATAGTTATAATACTAGACAGAAAGATCATATTTACATTGATTTCTATCATTTGAGTAAAACAAACAGGCGTGAACTACCTTGCTTCTCAAAAATGTTTAATAAATTGACAAACTTCATTAAAGATTTCAGCTTGAATAAGTTCAAATTGAAATTGAAAAATTACTCAATAAAGACATGGTTTACTCTCACTAGATCGTTTTGCACATTTTATATTGAATCCGCAAGAACAAATTATTATCAAAATGCCCCATTAAATGCTATGTGCAATGCCTATAATAATGTATAAAATGACTTTGATATCTTCTTCCAAAATCTTACTAGTTTGTGAAATAGGTTGTATGAAATTGTATAACTCTTGTTGAATATTTTTTTTTTGTATAACTTTTTTGTCATTTTGTTGTATGTAAAAATCTGTTTCCTACTCTGTAACTGGGCCATGGTCTGTAGAGTTTGTAAATAAATAAATAATGAAATATTCAACAATAAATTTAATGACATTGAATAATTTATGGTATGTATTTGTAAAGTACTATTTTAGATTTTTGTGTTTAGTAAGTAGGCTAAGTTTAAGTTTCTTATTACTTGTGTAAACAAATATGTATGGCCTCAATGAATATATCTACTTATCCTTATCGGCTTGTCCTAATGGTAGATCATGAGTAATGGTCTCATGGATTACCTGGTGTTAGGGTTTATCTTATGTAGATGCATTTATACATTGACACAGTCTAACCCAACAACCTTTTTTACAGGATTGAAAACGTTCTTCATTTTAGGCAGCAAAAACGATAAAACTCCAACCTACAGTGGTTCTTTTCGAGCAGAAGGCCGTCAGAAATATGCCAACTCACTCCAACTTTTCGTTTCTCCTCCTCCGTGTCCTAGTATCGTAAAGTCTTCTCCCATACGTCCCAGAGTACTTTCCTGTGATACTTCTTCGAATTACATTAAGCCGCAGCAACAATCACAGCATCTGCTCTCTCCGGACGTCTGCAAAATCAAAGCAAGCAGCCTTCCGAGCATTCTGGATATGGAAAGTGATGAAAGTGTTTGTATTAGCGGAAAGACAAACAATTCTTGTTTCGCGGACGATATCAAAACGCCTACCAGCACCGCAAGTTCCGGAAAATACACGGTCAAGTTGAAAAACTGGAAGAAGATGCCGAAGTTCATGAGGAAGTTGTCTGATCAACGGCAGGATGTAGAGGTGGATGTTTTTGTTGTCTCTCCTTTATCTCCTTCAGAAGATGGGTACCAGCAAGTGAGTGCCTTACTATTCTTCATATCATTTATTTATTTACAAACTGGAAAAACCTCTATTTTGTCACGACTTTTTTCATGAAAAAATTTAATGATTATCCTCAAGACAAATAACTCAAAATGAGGTATGATAGATATGTACAAAACTCGTGTGAACTGTTTTATGAGAATCATAAAGATGAAGATTTGGTAGGAGCATACATAGAGGAAGAATATATGAAAGAAAAATTGAACATAACAAATCAATACTAAAAACTAATGACAATTTACAATTGAACATTTCAAAGAATGGTGGAATCTATGAAAAAGTTTGGTAAAGTAAAATAGAAAAGAAATTTATCCATCTTTGCAAATTCCACAAGTGCTTTACATACAAATACAAAATGTATGTGTGCAGAGTAAATACTAAATATAAATGTTTCAGGAATGAGGAAATTCCTCAACAGAGTAAAATGCATTTGCTAATTTAGTGGATAGATAAATAGATATTTAATTTTCCTCTGAATATTATGATACAACACAAATATACATGAAGAAATCATACATTATGGGAAACGTCAGAATCACAAATTTTAACAATTTTAAATCAGTATATAAAAATATTTGGACATTGTATACATGTTAAAAACATTCGACATTGGATACATATTGGATACAAATTAAAAACATTCTACATTAGAATAGAATAGAATTTATTCGTCATTAAAAACATTTCACACATAATATATAACATTTTATCAGACTAGTCAAAACAGTTGAATATAGTTGATTTAATAATAAAATTGTAAAGATAAAATCTAAAAGCTGACAATGTTAAATGTGTTGTATAAATTCCTCATATAGTTGATGTGAAGATAAAATAATAAAATTGTAAAGATAAAATAATAAAAATTCCAAAAGCTTCAATGTTAAATAATAAAATTCTAAAGTTGACAATGTTAAAAGTTTATAAATTCCTCAACAAAATAAAATGCATTTGATAAAAGATAATTTGTAAAAGCTGTCCTAAATCTATTGAAGTTGTCTATATTTCCCAATATTTTTGTTGCTTTGTTGAAACAGATGACACCTTGATAGCTTCTAGAGTCCTGCCCGATGGTCAACCCCGACGAGTGTTGTATGCATGTATCATATTTTGTTTTGTGAAGAGGGATACATTTTTTTTTATATTTAAAACTAATAATAATATATAGAGTGTTGGTAGCGTCAATATACTCAATTTAATAAAAGTGTTCTTACATGATTCTCTGTGGTGTGAGCCAGCAATACATCTTATTATTCTTTTTTGCATTTTGAATACTTTTATCGAGTGTGCTGAATTTCTCCAAAAGGTTAATCCGTAGGATATATTAGACTGTACAAGTCCAAAATAGGCCAACTTGAGTACTTGATGAGATACTGTTCCACGTAGCTGAGTACAAAGCAAACACTACTCAATTTGGACGTCAAATAGTCAGTGTGTTTTTCCCAGGTTAATTTTTGGTCAATTATCAAACCTAGATACTTATATTGGCCTAACTGCTCTATAGACCTATTATTTATTTTTATTAGGGGACAGTAGTCTAACGAAACGTTTTTTTGTTGATAATTCATGAAAAAGGTTTTATTACCATTGACTAGTAGACCATTATTTGTACACCACTGAGAGAATTCATCAGCAGATGTATTTGCAGTCTGAACAGAACAGAGATAGAACAGAACAGAGATAGTTCATTTTCTGCTATTATTTGATAGGTATCATCTGCATAGATTATTGTTTTTTGGGAAGATACACATGAATACCCTATATCGCTCATAAATATTATAAAGAAAAGTGGAGCCAAGGTTGAACCCTGTGGAACTCCTATTGAAACAGGGGCAGGTTGAGATTTAGTTGAGTCTATAACTACTATTTGCGATCTTTGTTTTAAATAGGAGGCTACCCATTCATTAGCCACTTCTCTTATTCCCATTCGATTCAGTTTCTCAAGCAGCAGGGCATGGTCAACTGTATCGAAAGCCCTGGTTAAATCAAAGAATAATCCGATTGGATATTTTTTATTATTGAGATTATTGTAGATTATATCACATAATTCATAAATTGCAGATGATGTTGATCTTTGTTGTCTGAAACCGTGTTGACAGTGTGGAATAAGTTTATGATACTCAACATATACTTCAAACAAAAAAATATATACAAAATTATAGGTTTCTAGATTTCCAAGTATTTAATTTGTTGTAGCAGGTGACACCTTGATACCCTGCCAATACTGGTTTAATTACATGAATCTCTGTAATGCAAGCCAGCAAATAAATATATGAAAAAAGGAGACTTAAAAAAATTTAATGATGTAATAAAATCTTGGAACCTAAAATCACTAATCACCGGACCTACTAGAATTGTAACGACTAAGAGAGGAACAAGTACTGCTACTCTCGATCATATTATTACAAATATAGAGGGCAACATCGAAGCAAAACTAGTTGACCCTGGGTTTTCCGACCACTTAGCGCAAGTTGTAACCTGGTTCACATCGGAAACTTCGGAAACAAAGCCTGGTAACATCCGTATCCAGAAAATGTTCATGAATGATGGTACAGTAAATGAATTCATAACACTGTATTTGAGGGAATGGGAAGAACTTACAGAAAGTGATGATATTAATGAAATGTTTTCCACATTTTGGTTACACTTTAGTTATTGCTTCGAAATATCCCATCCTAAAAAACCAGTAAACGTAAAACAGTTCAACTCAAAAAAAAAAATTATAATATCCCAAAGTGCACATACGGAGGCCGACAGCCTACGCCAGTTGAACTGGCTTAGGAAGTTTGCAACCGAGTCAGATAGTATCCTCCAAAAGTATAAATTGAAAAAGAAAAGTTTAGAATTGAAACTAACAAACGAAAAACAAAGTTTCTTCGAAAAAATACTCACAAATTCACACAACACATCAAAGGATGTGTGGAAATTTGTTAATAATAATATCAACAGACACAAAATCAACCGCAAACCTATTACGTTAGATACAGCAAACGGCATGATATCCGAGCCCATTGCTATCGCAAACTTGTTTGGAACACATTTCACAAACTCTATTGCGAATACACTGAGAAATGCGATAACTATGACATCTGACAATGATAGTGTTAAAGTAGTCAATCATGCCTCTATGTTTTTTCACCCCTATAGTGAGCACGAAGTTACTAGTATTATATCAAATCTCAAAAATAAGACTTCAGTTGGTCTAGATGAAATACCGGTAAAATTAATAAAGTATTGCAAATATATTTTAGCACCTCATCTCACCCAAATAATCAACCTTTCTCTACTCACAGGCCAATTCCCAGATCTATTAAAAATTTCGAAGACAATACCAGTCTTCAAAAAAGGGGACGAGCGCCTAATTGAAAATTACAGGGCAATTACACTGGTTAGTCCCATCTTCAAAGTCATCGAAAAAGCTGCATATGATCGTATAACCTCTTTTTTAGATAAATACGAAATCTTGCATAAGTGTCAACATGGTTTTAGAAAAGCCCGATCCACCGAAACGGCAACGACAGAATTCACACAGTACATATATGAAAAACTAGAACAGAATTATTTCGTGTTAGGAATTCTCTTTGACCTATCACGTGCATTTGATACACTGAATCCGCGGATATTGTTGCTAATATTGTCTAATAAACTCAACTCGCTGGGCATACGAGGCTCGCTGAACGACTGGGTCATTTCATATGTTACCAATCGCCAGCTCATAGTACAGACAGAAAATGTAATATCAGAAAAATTTAGCATAGAACTGGGTACACCGCAAGGAAGTATCCTAGGCCCGCTACTATTCATCTTGTATGTCAATGATCTGCCTTTACACATAAGTACGGGAGAGACATTCATGTATGCAGATGATACCTCAATAGTGGTGCATGGCAAAACGCCAGAAGAAGCAAATAACAGGGCTCTTACAGTCATACATGAATTTCATGAATGGTGCCAAAGAAATCAACTTTTAATCAATATTAGTAAGACAACATGCATTGAATTCACTGGAATGCATAAAAACCAATCAGACTACAATATATTAATAAACAATTCGGTAGCCAAGCGGTTCGGCGTGGGTGCTTTGTTCACTCACTCGAATTGACTGCCGGGTTGGTCGGTGGTTCAAGCCCTAGTCTGAACGATCGATCTTCACTTGCTACCGTCCAACCCGTGTTAGGAATCACACGTTAAAAGGTAAGACCTCGTTGATCCTTAGCTCGCACAACTTTCGACTTCTGAGGGTTGTTGTTCGTAGGGGTCCACAGCTGGTTAACGGAGAAACAGATTTTAAACAGATTTTTTTATTTTTTTTTTATATCACGATGAGCATGTGTGAAGATGCAAAATTTTTGGGCACATTCATCGACTCCAAAATGCACTGGAACCGGCACATTGACTTAATCTGCAAAAAACTCAGTAGCCAGTGCTTTGCGATTAAGCAACTGAAGAGATCCTTGAACATGAAATCTCTACTAAATGTATACTATGCATTAGTTCACTCAACTCTGAACTACAACATTATGTCATGGGGAAATAGCACAGAGATGGAAAGACCGTTTGTAATACAAAAAAGGATAATTCGTGTAATATTTGATCTTTCCTATAACGAATCATGCCGAGATACTTTCATACGGAACAATATTCCTACTTTAACTAGTATATATCTCATGAACATCCTAATGTATGTCAAAACAAACATCAATTACTTTGAGAAAGTTGGAGATATTTCAAAGTATGTCACTAGAAATTCTAAAAATTTGCGACTGGGCAGGGTTAATCACGCATTCTTTAAAAAAACTGAAATCGACAGAGGATGTTCTTATTTCAACTTGCTTCCTCACAATATCAAATGTTCGTCCGTAATAATCTCCAAAAAAGAACTGAGAAAGATTATGAACAAAGGTTGCTTCTACAATATATAAGAATTTGAAAATTATTTAAAAACTATAAATAGTAGTACATAACCAATAAATAAACTTTGTTGGCATAATTAGTGGGTATAATTGTTTACCTGCACTCTAGTTTTGTGTAAGGTAAGTTGGTATATTGTAATGTTATCTGGACCTGTATCTTAATTGCGATTTTCAGTTATACATAACTCACATCTGTGTATACTAACACAAATAGTGTATCGGTGTACACAGTGTATTAGTATATACATGGATTTTATCTCCAGTATACTAAGTTTGTATATGTTGTATGCTATTTAATTGTACACAATTCATATTTGATGTAATTTCCATAAGCTTACCTTGGTTTATATCCTTGTTGACGTTCACAATCCATGTCTATGGAAAATGTGTTTAGTATATATATACCTTATACATTTTACATTTCATTTTATGTATTTCTGACTTACCTAATCCATGTAATAGTGGCAGTGAAGGAGAAAATAAATATCTATCTATCTATTTTACTGTCTTTTTTGATATGGTCTGTACTAGTCCAAAGTAGGTTAATTTATTCAAAGATACTGTTCCTCCTAGTTATCAAAACACACAGTTTAGTTTTCACCAACACTAATAAAATGTAAATTAACATTGGTCCAGTGTGAAGCATCTTGACACACTACCAAATCTGAATTACTTTTTGTGAATGACTGTGGTAAATGATTTTCTTTTAGGTTCCTACTATCATCGAAGCCAACGTTAACGGCAATAAAAAAGATTCCTTTATTAGCATTACGAAAAACGACGGGGAAGATCTCCTGAAAGACAACCTCGATATAAAGTCCTACATAAGTCAGTCCCGAAGTGACATCGGCCAATTCGATTTTTCATCGAACACTGAGTTTATGAGAAGCGGCAGCTACAGATCCCAGTACGGTAGGTCGCCTTTGGGCGACTTTCAGTTCTTACAACGATCGGGAAGCAATAGGTCTCGCAGAGGAAGATCTCCCATGCTGGAAGGGCTGGAGCCTAGAGAGAGAGCTAGGAGCGCCACGGTGACCGCTGTAAACATACAGAGACCGAAGAGGTCCTTGGATTTTCCTAGCAAGTTGTCGAGCTTTGCTTGCCTCGAGGAGAACATCACTCACAGCAGGAAGGACTCGGGAATAAAGAGCAACAGCAGAAGAAGCAGTATACAGGTATGTTTTTAGAGATGTAACTTCAGCTTTGGACCATTTATTGTTCGTTATGAATGAGTAACAAATGTTATGAATGTAATTTAATTACAGCTATAGGTATTTGCGAAAACAAGTTGAAAAAAGCGCATAATAATATTTATTCACCATTTGTGATACATACCGTATATATGGTAGGTCAATGATTAATTACAAAGAACAGTACGTCACTTATGAATAAAATTATGGAATCAAAGCTTAAATAAAAATTAATATTTGCAAATACAAATATCTTATTATTCTTCTGTGAAATAATCCTCTAAATATTCCTTATGACTGTAGTAACATTTGTCCAGTAATAAGTTTTTAACTTTCTTACTGAACAAATTTGCAGAATTCAACCTCTTTATAGAAAGTGGCAGTCTGTTATAAAAATGTATGGCATTATGGAGATTTTTTGAAATGATCACTCTTATGTGAAGGGACCCTCAGAGCAGTAACATGGCGAGTATCACGACCGTGAATGCTCAAGTTCGTTATGTACAAGTCAAGGTTCCTGTGCACAAAAATGACACATTTCATTATATAAATTGCGGGTGTAGTCAACAAGCGTTCTCTTTTGAAAACGGGTCTACAACTTTCTTGGTACCCCAGGTTGAATATCAATCTTATCAGTCGTTTTTGAGAGATGAAAACTCTAGAAAATTCATTTGCACATCCCCAAGCCATTATGTTGAAACTGATGTGAGAGTATGCATTCGCAAAGTAAACATTTAGTAAACCAAACCTATCTAAACAATGTTTTAACTGTTTGATCGAATAATAAGCGAAATTGAGTTTACTGCACACTTTTTGTATGTGACTTCTCCAGGTGAGATTCTCATCTAAAATAGTTCCAAGAAAATCAATTTCTTTTGATATTTTTATGTCATTCAAAGTGACTAAATTACAACAGAAATCCCTCCTAACAAATGTTTTCATCAGCACCGACTTGTTATGTCATATTTAAAAAAATGTGTGAATTATATACCTACTCAATCCATTTTAGGAAGGAAAATTTTTCTGTTGTTAGTGATTTCGTTATTCGGTATGCCAGTCTTCAAATTTTATTGCAAAGGGATTTTTGTAGACAAGATCAGAAATGTCAACTGTCAAATGTCAATCATTCAGCATTAATTGCTGAAAGGTATTGGACGCAAGCATTTATTGGCCATACAGTGTAAATTTACAGCAAGTCTGGCTATTTTCAAACTATGGAACAGAAAAAACTGCCGACCAATTGAAGCAATATATTCTTTGAGTGTATAAAAACTGGTATTAGTAACAATTTTAATAGTAAGGTTTTTTGATAGTTGGATTGAAACTTCTGAAATCCAAAGATTTAACAGAGGGTTCCCCAGTAAACACTTTCAATCAGGCCGACATTGAAAAAGTGCCTCCCTGTCAATAGGAGCTGGGAAACTGTTGTTCCTCTGACAATATTTAGTATTGATGCAATGCTGTGCTTGATAGCTCGGCCGATTGTCCGCCGATGGTGTCAGCAATGCATGATTCGATACAAACATTAATTTCATTGGTGGAAACATATTAAAGTAGGAGGAAGTAACGTCTCCGCGGTTTTCATTTTTTTTTTTTTCATCTACTGAGAAGTATCCTCATTCAACCAAAATCAAAAGGAAAATCTGTTGAAGAAAGTTAGTTGGTGTAGACAGTGATGATGAATTTATTCCACAATTTTCATTCATTTCAAAAATGAACACTACTACGAATCACCAGAACTGCAATACTTTTCTCGACTGGGAATTTATTCTACGTCAGATGTTCCACTTCTACCTTTCAAATTCCATTCAACTTGACTATGATGTCATTTAAAATTTTGGATGTATCTAGAGAATAATGAAATTGAAAATAAGTTTTTTTCAAAACATTATTAAAAGGTGAAAATATAATTGAATTAAATTCAAAACAATCACTGCTCCCCCAGACCAGAACTGTAACACTCTGCTCAACGTGTTTTCATCAGGAGATGAACTGTACTCCTGATGAGTTGGTTAGCGAAACATGCATCAAGAAGAGTGTTGCAAGTTCAGCGGTGTGGAAGCAATCTCTGTGTTGAATTTCTTCTCTGTTCTACATTTCAGTTCTACCTTTTGGTGAAATAAATCATATCGTACCTGATCAATATCTTCCACAAATTAAGGATGGTCAAGGTCCAAACTAGTCATAGGAATGATTTCCAAATACATTCGTTCACAGTGGTCTGGTGTTGCGTTTTGTTTGGGTTCTAGTGTAGTGATAGGGGGAATATCATCGGCAGTCCATGTCGTTATGGAATTGAATCAGATATCTTTCACAGAATTACTACACAATTTAGTAAATGAAATGGGTAAAATTTATATGTCATCCTCATTGGTGGTCATCCGATGTTTCGGCATAAAATACTTGCCTTGTTGCCTCTTCAGCACCAAATCTGGATAACATTATGAGATGAAGCACTCAGTCATTCATAAAATGATGACTTCATGTAACGACTGAGTTTAATCTACTCATGTCATCGATGACAGTACAAAATGAAAATCATTCGCTTATTTGAATAAATCTCGGTCATAGGAATCTTGTTTGAATTGAAAGGGGTATATTTTTTTGGGAGGATAATTTTTGGGCTGTGAGGTAGTGTCATCATATTTCTTGGTAATGAGATTGTTGAAAATGATAGTTTACAACAACTACTCGTATAGGATTTCAACCAAGAGAGTATGTTATATAGTTACTAATATACATATTTCACTGAGACGAGTTTGTTTACATAGATACTGAGAAATAATAATGAATATAACCTCACATATATCTATCCAATGTGGTGTTTTTAATTATTTCAGATCGACAACCCCCTGAACTCAGAAATGCTGCAACACCGTGTCTCCGGATATTATACATCAAGCCAGTGCTCAATCAACATCCCACAAGTGCCAAGAAACTGCGGACCATTTTTTGATAAGTTTGGTACAAGCATACAAAATTTGCGCAAACAATCAGACAGACAGTTGATCAAATGTGTTCAAGATAATTCCAAATCCCGCTCTTCATACTTCATGAAACCTCCGCTCTCCAGAGTGACTCTGTTCTTCAAAGATCCTGACATGGAGAAGAAGTACCGCGAGAACGTCCATCACATAGGCAAGAGAGATGAACGGGCAATATCGACGCTCGCACACTCGAACTTCAATACTTACCTGGACGTGATCGTGTCTGTACAAGTGTTCCTGTTCGTTTCGATCGCCGCCGCTTTGGTATACGGTTTCACGGACATCTGGTTGGTAACATTCTTCGTGTTGTCTGCTTCACAGTTGCTCGGGCTGGCGCTGTGCCTGAAGCCGATCGTGAGGTGGTTCGACAGGGTGTTCTGGTGCTTCATCAGATTCTACCGCTGGAACATCTTCGGAGCCGTACTCGTCATCTTGCCTCTGATTTCGGCCGTAGCGAATTTCTCCAACGCGAAAGACCGCTCTGCCAGCCACGTAAACCTGTATAGTTATCTGCTGTTTGTCGGACTCATGCACTTCTGCAACTTTACTCAGCTGAACTGCTGGATGAAAAACATACTCGCGAGCGTGAGCAGCTTTGCCATGGTGATCATTTTCGTTAGGATTCCATGCAATAATGAAGAAATTATTATGGGGGAACCGATGAGAAACGAATCCGTGGTAGCCGATTTTTTCAACGTGACGGATGTGCCAAGAACTTACAACATGTCGTGCAATTTTCATAAGGCGGAGATGGTTCTGAACCTGCTCATTCTTGTTATACTGATTTGGGTGTTGACTAGAGACTTTGAGACCAGGTAGTGTAAGTTTTATACATGCATGTTTTTTTTTTATTAAAAATATAACAACAGCGTACAGTTCAACATAGTTAAGACACTATAAATATAAAATATGTTGTTATTCTCCCTAATCAGCAAAAATGCTGGTCTCGGGATTCACAAACATTCAATATGACAAGTGAAACACAAAAACTAGTAAACCACTACAAAGCTCATAGTATCAACGTATCAGACATGTGCCTCGAGGCTCAGATGTTCTTTTAAACTATTGATGAATGAACTATAGCCCGGCAACTCAGGTATACAGACAGGTAATTCATTGAAGACTTTTATAGCCTGTGTAAAAGGATTGTATAATCCTTTGTTCATTCTTACCATGCTCAGGTATAAGTCATTTCTACCCCTTGTATTATACTCATAAAACTGGTTGTTGACTAGTAGATCGTTGTTGCTTTTGATTCTTTTGTTTTTTATTTCATATATGTTCTTGCATTGCTCAAGTTCAAGTAGATATTTAATTGGCTGTAGTTCAGTCTGTGAGAATAAATTATTTTTGTGGGTTCGAAATGGAATTTGAAATAAAATTTTTATTGATTTATTTTGTAGCGTTTCAATTTTTTTGAACTTAGAAACGCTACAATTACTCCATATGATTAACAGATACCTAAGATTCGCCAATATATATGCATTGTAAACCAAGTATCTATTACTGAAACTCAAGTAACTGGAACACCTATATAGAGCTCGTAACATTGGTATAATTTTATCATTAATATGTTCTATGTGTTTTGACCAGTTTAACTTATCTATTATGAGTCCCAAATACTTGGTTTTTGCAACATTCATTCAATTTTTTTGTTTAAATAGCATGTAAACGGTTTTTGCAGAGTTCACTTTAAATTTATTATGTGCAAGCCAATTTGAGTATTTAGAGAGATCTTCATTAACTGTGTTCTCTATTAAATGTACGTGAAATACCTTCCCTTAAGCCCGGTCTGCCTCAGTGACAGTGACATGTAACTCATAGATTGAAAAAATAATCAAGTTACTTAAAAAATATGAGAAGAACTAAACAATGAGTATGAAATGTAAACACACAGAAGCTATTACGTCAGTAATACAAAATACAATATGTAATGAACCCCAGAAATTAAATTTGAGTTTCCAAGGTTTTAAAGAAAAACAATTCCCAGCCCGAAGTGATGTATCAATTGTTTAGTCATTTTGAAAACCATCTCTTCAGATTTCAATTGAACATTTTATTAGAATTGACTGTAGCAATTCAGTGTAGTCAGATAATTGTATATCTCAAGTAAATTTGCAGTACAATTAATAGATCTTCACACATGCATCATCAATTTCTGCATCCTAAATAAGTCGACATAGTAATGAAAACAAAATGTTGTAGCTATTGTTTCGAATAACCTAACCTTGAATTTCACTAACAAGTCACCCTATGTTGGGTCAATCATACTCTAAACATATTATTAATCATCCTCTAGATACATTTTATTTTATATTCCATTTTCCAACTCCAATACCTGGCCACGGCCTTCAAGCTTATCAACTACAATCTTTTCAGTCATTTTAAACGACTCCAAAGAAAATTGAAAAGTTTTAAATCCATATTGTAAGTGTTAGCAAGTCTCAAACTTTTACCTATAGACTCATTCTGGCTATAGTCAGTATGATGAAAGGGTACATTGAAAATTTCTGTATTTCTTGTTCTCTTTGGAGTCACATTCATAGGTTCAACAAGTTTCTGATAATTAATGCTATCTTTGATTATTTTGTGAATTAGCTTATATGAGCTGAGTATACAAGTTGAGAATGTCCAATATAGTTTCATAGTTATATTCACCAATATGATATCCCAGTTTGTACGCAGAGTAACTTAAAAACTAGTTTTGAACTCTTTCAACCAAGTCAATATCCACATTATATGAAGGGCATCAAATTGTGGAGTTGTATTCGATTATTGATCAAACAATTGAGCAATATATGATTTTTAAGAAAGAGAGAGATAATTCCTCTAAAGATTTAAGAGTAAAACCTAACATTTTTAGTGCTCTAGAAGTAACATTAGCAATATGGGGTTTGAATGACTCTTTCTTGTCAAGGGTGATTCCTAAATCTTTGATTGTATTTGTTGTTTCCAGTTCTGATTGCTTGATTTCATATGGAATATTTATGGGATTTTTGTTACGAAAAAAAGTAGATTTATGGCATTTGTCTATATTCAATTGCAATAAGTTTATATCACGCCAGCGTACAAAGTTAGATAAATTGCACTATAATAATCCAGTATCAGATGAGTCACGAATAACTTTGTACATCTTCAGATCATCAGCAAATAGAAAAAATTCAGAATAGAGAATAACATCATTCAAGTCATTTACAAATAGGTTGAAAAGTAAGGGTTCTAAACAAGATCCCTGCGGTACACCATATATCAATATATCACCATATGTTATACGGTATATTATTATAAATACAAAAGTAACGAAAAACAAACACATCATCAATGAATTCATGTTTTTTATGTCATATTCATATACAGGCTGATTCACGGTGGATGGCACATTAGACGTTTCTGGTGAATCAGACAACGGATCACTTTGAAAATTTAATGGAAGGCATATTCGGACATTCTCTAGCCAACTAAAATATTTTCGACAATGCGGTGTTGCCGCTTCTATTAGAAAGCAGTAGCAACTTTGATTTTTCAAATGGAACACTCTGTA